TTCAAGGAATAGGGTGATAAAACTTAATTAACGAGATGATAACATTGAGTGTTTTTGGTTAAATATAACATTTACCACTTTAATTAATGTTGTTTTGTGGGACTCATCTTTGGCGTGAGGTTTGCAACAAGGGGATGATCAAATACATATCACTTTGCTACAAATCACACACCCAAAATGCCCAGAGTCGGACAATCCAATTTGTTCACTGATATTCTTTAGAAATTTACCTTGACACCACTTGTAGGCCAGCAATGGTGGAGGCTCGGTATCGCTGGGCTTAATCCAAGGCGGGAAAAGACGTCGCTTGTCTGCTTCATACCATAGATACTGATCCAGATAGGCGTCCGTGATCTTCTCCAAAGGTTCCACTTCATAGACAGGAATAAGATGACTATACAAGTCCATGAACTCGATGCCCACCTGAAATTTAAAATGAAATCATTAAACTAAATTTAACAAATGCTGGAGTATGAATAACTAACCTCCTTGAAGGCTCTCTGCGTGAGCAAATGACGCTTGATACGGGACAAGGCCTCATGGGGGTTATCGTATGCCTGTTCAATAAGACCCAGCTCCTCGCGCTGACTTTGATTCAACCTGGACTTGACGCTGTACGCCTCCTTCAACCGTTCCAGGGCCAGGATCAAAAGCTTGGTGTCGTGCTTGTACGAGAGGGGCGGGAAGGGAATGGGCGCAAAGCGACGCGACTCCAGCCAATGGACGGTGGTGGTATAAATGGCCACAGCCTCCTCAGGTGATATGTATGGACCATCCTTCAGATAGTTGTGCTGTCTTTCCTGCTCAGCCTTTAAGTAAAGACGCGTCAATCGCCCCAGATTCTTCTTGCACACGGTCTTGTCCACAGTGGCTCCTCGTCGAATACGTTCGCGATTGTAGTGAGCCGTGTTTGTCCACCAATCCGCCTTCATCTTAACGTAACGCAAAATCATATTCTCAATGGGAATAGGCAGACCGGGTACCTTCCACGGAATGTTAGCCTTCCAGCAACGCCAAGCCTCGGAAAGGTGCTGCAGAATTGTACGCGCCTTGTTCTGCTTAATACCTTCGGGCATCATGTCCACAATGTCGTGCATTACAGAGGCACGCAGCTCCAAATCGAAGTGGGATTCGACGCGCTGCTTGGTCACCGTTTTGGCCACGCCCTTGGAGTGTCGACCCTCGAACTGACGCGACAGCAGATTGCCCAGCCAGCGTTCCAGCAGAGGTGTAATGCCGCGCATGAAGAACAACCAGACTCGCCAACCGGGTGCCCAAAAGCCACAGCCCGGTCCCTTGCCCACTGGTCCTGTGTTGAAGCGGTAGTATATCAAATGCTTCAGATCCTTACACATCCGAATCTGCCTCATAAGCTTGTATTTGTAGCGATACATGCCAGTCAGCTGGCCGACATGGGCGAATATATACTGCAGACCGTCGGCCAACTGAAAGGCGTCCACATTGTTCAGTCGATACTGAACATGCGAGTCAATGATAAGCTTGGTCAGACGCAGAATCTCACGGCACAAGTGGAAAGCTAATAGATACAAAGAAGAATTAGGACCTTTAATAAAATTGGTAGCAAGAAATCAACCTACCATTTCCGAAACGTGACTTTTTACGCTCTTTTGTGGTCAGAGTCTTTACAGGCTTCAAGTTGAAGTTGTAATCCAAATGCAAGTAGTTAAGATTCTTTCGGTGAATCAAGAGGTTCAGCATGTTGTATCCCTGACGGCAAACCTGCAATCCAGCCTCAACCCAATCCAGGGTGGTGGTCTGGAAGAATTTTGTGGCCTTAAAAGAACGGAAGAGGTAGCTGCAAAGTAAATTGAAACCTTTAGAATAGTTTATGATAGTTTAACACCAATCTAACTAACCGTTTCTTCTGTGGTTTTGGTTTGCGGTGCTTCAGGGCATTGAGCACATAGTATTTGAGCAGTTTTTGGTAGCTAACGCGCACTTTGACTGGATGGCCAGGAGGACAATGCTCCTTGTACCAGCACTTAACCAGAGGAACATCGATGGCGCGGCGGGAGCGACCTGAACGCATGTTAAAAGGACGAGGTGCCCACAGCAAGGCGATGCCGTTGGCTGTATTGTCAGTGTACAGGGGAGTATCCTGCAGGAACGGCTGTACATCGTTCGGCAACGTAAACTCCTCATCATCATCCGGCAGTGGCTCCTGCACTTTGGAGTTCGCATTGCGATGGGATATGGGATTAATGAGCGGATCAAAGTAAAAGGCTGGCAAATCGGGATCTTCGGTCTTGATATAGACCACGTTTGGAGTGTGATACCTGAAATAGAAGAAAGCCGTTGGTTATTCAAAATCCTTCTAGCTTCAATTGAGTTTAAATGTATGCAACTATCAGCAGTCACGATTTATTCTTAACAATCGCCACGAACATATTCATTGCAGCTCCCTTTTATCGCAAAATTGGTAGTAAGCTGGGAGCTCGACGTTTTTCTAACGCGACATGAAGCATTTCCAGCGAGGATGTTCACTTGGAAACGTTACTACCACGTAAATAAAATTTAAGATTAAAAATTTCTGAAGAATGAAGGACCTTACCAGCTCAGGTGCACAAAGTGCGGCATATTGTTGTACAAGTAGGGAAAGGCAATGCGATATTCCGTGCGAATTGGCTGCCTGATAATGACTTTATTAATGTCATTAAACTCGTTCCAATCTTCGTCACTAAAAATGTAATACATGATTAAAAGATATCTTGGTATTTGTTGCTGGCAAGGCACTTACCCCACATTGTGGTCTTTAATAAGGGGCTCAAACTTAGGTCCACCCGGAATGGCCATATTTAAAGCCTTGGCGGTGAAGAAACTTTTGGGGTCAAAAAGATAAAAGAAGTTGTTGTCTACCAGGTCCGTAAGCAGTTGATTGGCCAGCCGATAAAGAGTGGCAAGCTGGGGCAGGGAAAGATTCCACTTGCGGTATGTGGTGCCGTTTACAAACCTTGAATAGAAATATATGTTAACTAACAATATCAAATATAAGCCTTGCTCAAAACTCACTGGGTATCCACCAAAGGACGATGATCGTAAAACCATTTGTACACGGCATTGTCTTCATCATTGTCCAGCTCAATCTGAATGGCCTCTAAGGGCTCCACATCGAGAACGTTGTCCGCGTAGTCGAGCGGCGGCTCCTCATCGTCGAAGGGCGGGAATCTCATGCGCTTAAAGTGGCGACGATCGCGCTTCTCACGCCTCATCATGATCCACATGGTTCTATAAAGTAAGTAATGATATTAGTTGGGATTTTAAGGTAAAACTAGAGTAAACTCACCCCCATTGGGCAATGTAGACAGGTTCAATGACCCAGGGAATCTCGTTGACAAAGGTGATGGCTCCCGTGATGTGGTACAGCACCTGTACATCCCGGATCTGCTCCCAGGGCATGGGCATGTTCTCCAGCAGCTTAAGCACCGCATGAGGCATGTACTTGAGGGCGCCGAGATAGACTCGCTTGTCGTGGCGATACTTGCGAGAGGTCATGTCACCGTGATCGCGAATAATCTTCCGAATGTGCTCCGGAGGCATGTCCTCCTTCTGGGTATCCACAAAGCCGAATTTACGCTTCTCGGCGAATCGCTTGGACTGCAAATGCTGCCATTTGAGGGCCTTCTCCTGCAGCTTCTCCTCGGTGAGGATGTCCGGTTTGGGAGTGGGAATTTGACCCAAGCCTGGTCCTTGTCCACCAGCCGGAATGGGAATTCCGTTAGCATGGCCACTGGGAGGCGGAAGCGGTGCTCCTGGTGGGGGAATCTGCTGGATCTGGTTGGCCATCTGCTGCTGGGCGTGCAATTGAGCCTGCTGAGCGTGGGCTGCGGCATAAGCCTGCTGGGCCATCAGCTGCGCCGCCCACGCATTCTGCGGTATCATGTACGGCGGAATGGACATCGTTCCGCTGCACGTATCCTAGTTCCTAATCAATAAAATGAAAAAGATGTACACTATATGACACACAGACACGTTTTGTTCGAAGGGGAGAAATCGAATGCCGCCGACGTCGCGGTCTTTTTGCATATTCACAACTCAGTGAAAAAAGCTATTATTCTACTCGCCCCAAGTTAATTCTTTTTTAACTTTTTAGCCCAACAGTTTGTTAATAACTTTTTTACCTATTTTGCACTTTTACAATGTTTCTTCGGCTGGAATTTACAATTTTTCCGGCTTGCAAAACGAAAACGTTTATTTTTTCATGCGGCAGCCATTTATTTCTGGTGGTGGCACAAAATCTAGAGGTGGCCAACATAAAAATGCCGCATGCGTAATCAAGGTAACAACGCAAGAAGCGCGATTATTCGTTTGAAATTTTCATTTTCAAAAGGAAATATCAGTTTTTTAAAAATCTATATAATTGATTACAAAATATACCTCTTCTTATTATTTTTGTTTATATATGAACCAATAATTTCTTTTTTAATGCAACTTACCTAAAATAACGCCATATGTAAAATAAAGTTATACCAAATAAGTTTACAAATTGAAAATAAACTGTAAGTGAACAAAATATTAAAATTTCAAATGATATCCAATAACCTTAAAAAATTCGATTATAATGCTTGTAATTAAATCAAATGAATCATTATCTTGCCAACGATTGTGTTAACCGAATTAATTAGGAACTTTTTAAGCCAGTGCGTAAATGATTAATTCGAGGACTGGAAATTTCTTAATTTCTCTCATTGAGTAAACATTCTCTAACAAATAAGATTAGCCAATCTGGTAAGTGCTTTATATATAAAAGTAAACTGGAAATGTTCTTTGTAACACCATTCAACCAAATTAGAAGATCTAATCGAGTCATCAGCCTGACCCTGATATGAAACACCTCTCATTTCCCATCGGGTAACGACTTCCCCAGATTCCAGAATGTTTGTCCAATCAATGATCATGTGCGAAATCGATCACCGGGATGTTTTGCTTTGCCCACTATAAATATTGTTGGGCGTTCATTGGGGATCACAGTTAACGGACAACAACGCTTCTAACCAGAACACGACCGGAAAAAGTTGCTAATTTGAGAGGAAAATATAAAATCCCCAAGTACATCCCCGAGAAATTTCGCAAATAAGGTCAACAATGGCAAAGGTACTGGTTACAATGGAAATCTATCAAGATTTATATTAATAATGTAATATTTTTTTACGTTTTCAGTTATATTCCGTCCTTTTGTGCCTGGTTATTATTGGATCTATATCTGCCGGACCTATAGAGGTAGGTCTTATCCTTTTTTACTTATTATCCAATTAATAATATAATATTTTCAGAACAAAGAAGCTGTTGAAGGGGGTGATCTTTCTACGGCCGATTCCATTGGTTACGGATATTATGCAGCTCCTCCTCCGGTTTATTACGGCGGATATGGAGGAGGCTATAAGTACGGCGGATATTCCGGATATGGTGGTTACGGAGGATATCGCAGTTATGGAGGCGGCTTTTACCGTCCGCGAATTTACCCAGTTTGGGGTTAAAACATGAACCACAGCCAACCCAAACACACGTTCCTAAGACCCAAAATCCTATGTAACCAAAGAAATTATACAAGCCCCGTTAAAAATGAACCCTTTCACTGTCTTGCAACCATTATAATGACGTCATTCCGAGTTTTTGACCCCAGACCACAATTAACACCGGCTTTATTGCAATAAAAACAAAACACTTTATGTATACGAGTACGTTCGCATGTGCGGTTTATTATTTTCAAATTTCAATTGTCTGAAACCGGATTTTTGGGACTTGGTCGGCGCTTCCGAAGAAATTGAGCTTCAATGGCCAACGTAACAAAATAGCAAAATACCAAGTTGGCTAAGCGTAATTACACATCTGAACTTAAGACCTATCTTTAACGATCCACGCAAGCTCAATTTTTGGCCATTAACCGGGTCACAAAGAGAGCTGGACTCTACAGTGGATATCGGCTAAGAGATCAACATATTATTTCAATCACTTCTTGTAAAATGCTCAAAATTAATTAAAAGTTGACACTTTAAAATATTCAAGGTATTTCTGGAAGATTATTATTTTACGAGAATGCAGGATATGTAAATATACTTCAGTTTTCTAGGAATGAGGTGATAAGAGTGCTGACTCTTTTATTCAGATTTAAAATTATCTTAAAATTTTCATTATATTTAACTTGCTGAAGAACACAAATCCTTATTAGAGATTTTAGAGTTTCTATTCTGAGGAACTTAAAATAATTAAAATTCGTTCTAATTTTGTTTTGGTAATGAAATTTCAATAATAAAGTTTATGTTTTTGTTCATGGCATATATTTTAAAAATATTTTATAAATCCAAATAGTTTAGAGACTGCGGATTCAATAGCCACACAAGAGTGATTACTGTATAAGAAATTCGCAAGGGCTTGATTCCAATGCTCCACTTTTATTTTGGCAAACGGATACAACTGACATACACATAAACTAGGATTTAAATAGGAAATATCATGGCCAAATGTATTTTTTAGTGGCGACGCGATCCCGATCCCGTGTGCCTTTTGTGATGGGATTTGATGGCTTTTGCGTGGGATCGCACTTTCCGGGTGTGGTGGTCCTTCTGGTGATGGTCCTTCTGGTGGAGGCTCTTCTTGTGACCATGGTCATGTTTGGCCTGTCTTACTTTCCTTTGGAACGTGGAGTGCCCATGGGATTGGTGATCCTTAACGTGGGAAGGCACCAGATGATGATTCTTTCCGTGTTTGGTGTGCTCATTGGCCGTATGTCTGACCTTCTGGAACTCTTGGTGGTGCTGCGACAAATGGTGTTTATGGTCCAGATGGTGGTTCCTTTCTTTCTGTTCCAGCGGTTGCGTAGCCAGAACCACGGCCACTAAAATAGTGGCAAAAACAATAATCTGGATTCCCCATCCAAGGCATTATTGGGATTGAAAGTAAATAAAATTAAACCAATTGCCATATCGGAAGCCTCGATAAGATAAGGTTCGCTCCTTGGAACTAAACTCACCGCCTTCAACATGATAACTCTGGGATATTAACAACGCTTTTCCGTTCGTGTAAGCTCAGCGACGTTCCAGACTCGACTGTTTTTTCGGAGGCTCTTCCGCTGCTGTTTATATCGTTATCTTTTTTTATATACGTAGCTCCAAGCCCCTATATCACATAGTTGGGTATATATTTTTTTTGCTTTTGAGTGCGGCAGAGTTTTATCGCCCATTAAGCGAACAGGCAAGCTGGCGGTGACCAGATGTTGGATAGTTTTTTAAAGCTGAGATTAGCAGAGTAAGATTTTAGACCGCTCTTTACAGTTCTCTGAAACAGTATTTCTTGTTTCTAATTTAATAAAAAACTTTGTCCAACAGAGATATTTTTAGTGTCTGATAAAAACTTTGAATCGGACGTCAATAGTTTGCCATTGAGCATTTTATATGGGAGATAGCAGAACAGTAACAATAGTTATACCTGCCCTACTGAAAAAATAATCTTTCTTTTACCTAACTTCGATAATCATATTACTTCGGCCATTCAAAGAATTAAGATAACCTCTTATATCCTTTATATAATATTTAAGTTTACTCCAAGTTCAACCTTTTAATGAATGCCTTTTTCTTTAAAGATATTCGTAAAAGGAAAGTTCTACTAAGATTCTGTCCAATCCGTCTAAAAATATAATTTTTCATTATTTATTTGGGGTAAATCAATTTTGTTTTGACTTTTTAAAGAACATTCTTTAATCTGAACTCCATACGTTAATTAGGTTATCAAATTAATATTTGCGATGATGACAAATTGCTGGCCATTGTTTTATTTTATAGTCTCTCTAATCTGATAACGCATTTCATTTAAAGGTTTCAAAGAGAGCAAAAGAGTATCATTGATACCGCAAGTTCGCACTGGTACCTATAACGGATTAAAACTAATCGTTATCTTTATAAATTTCATTCAGGCTGGGTCAGTTAATAAACAGTAGAACACAAAACACTCCAACGTCGAAGAATCGGAAATTACTCTTATCTGGAACAAAGGAAGGGAAGGGCGTCTTGACTATAAATTTAATCATGAGTCTTGGCCGTGTTCCACTCGAAATATTTGAAAACAATAATAATGCGCATTGCCTCTGGACGTCATAAACAGAATAAATTTAATAATCAGGCTGACAGATCAATAATTTTGTTAAGTAATATGTTTTATTATTCGAATCAATAAAATCATACATTAAAGTGGAATAAATAAAAAAATGTATATCGTTTGCTTGCGTGGTGTGGAATCTATTGATTATTAAGTTTATTAATATTGGATATCGTGTGTATATGGATTTTTTGCTGGCGTATGTTAATTAGCTTTTATGCATATGGGTGTCCCTTTCAATCCTCCTCCAACTTTTCTACTTTCCCGTTTTCTTCGCTTAAGGCATACAAAAAGTGAATAAAAATATATATATAATATTTTCTAGTGTGAACAAATTGGGATTACCATACATAATATATAAGCTTAATTATATAAAATATTGAAAATACATGAAAAGAAATATTGAAAATACATGTAAAGAAATATTGTGATTACAACAAAAGCGAAAACATAAATACAAAATATTGATTCACGAATAAACTTAAAATTAATACATTTTTTTGTTGATATTTTCTAGTTTTATACTTTTTTTTAAATTTTCTTTTGTATATTTTTTCGATTATAGTTTAATATAGTAATTTGCGATCAGGCTCTTAACGTGGCTGGCCATAAATGAAGGACTACCAAAAAATAAAGCCGCTCCGGAGACAATTTCAAAACGATTTTCGACTACGTAAACGCGAAGATTTAAAAAGGTTCTTTTGCTTTTCATGGAACACATTGGGGACAATGTGTCATTGGATCTAAGGTGAGCTAATCGAGCTATTTGCTGAAACTACGGACTGGATATAGGATTGTTGCTGATTAAGTTCTTCTTCCGTTTTTTGTTTGCGAAAATCGTCCCCTTGCTGTCGAACTACTCCTCGATGCTAAAAAGGAAGTAGTTATTCTCGTTGTCGTTGATGGCGGCCGGTGGTGCCTGCGGTGCTTTCCTGGACAGCGGCTCGAAGCCCATGAACAGGAATGCCTCGATGAGGCGAGCCCGGTCCGGCTGATCCTTGGGCATGACCATCACGATGCCGTCCACCTCCAGCTTATCCTCGGCGAATTCCAGCAGCGAGATGAAAGTCTGCTTGGAGCCGGCTGGCGGTAGATCCTTTGGCATAGCGACATACAGAATGTTGTTGACGGGATTCAGAATCGTATTCCAATTGGTGTACTGGTCCTCGGTCACATGCAGCTTGATGGTGATCTGCACCGGCTGGTCGTGCTGCAAGATCTGGCGCAGCACTTCCTGGCAGTCATCGTCCGAGCACAACGAATGGATGTCGGGCTGCGACTCCAAGTCGGAGCAATCCGATTCGGAGGACGACAACGACGACGCCCGGGAGCTGGCCTCGTACAGGCTGCCACCAGCCGAGTCGACCGAAGACTTACGGCTGTAGCCTACAGGGATGGAAGGATGTTTAGTAATGTTCATCATTATGCAACTATAATACTCACCCGTTAAGAGCGATGCCCTATCGTGATCTGTTCTGTGGTGGACAGGGACATCAGGACCACCACAGAGGCCCTACGCCGAGAGAGATGCGGTAGGAATCCGATGACATGGTCGTGGCGCAAGACGAAGTCGAGATGGTGCGGATCTTGCCATCGGCAATACCGCTGTCATTAAATTCTCTTCTAACGAAGCCACTACTAAACACTGGGTCGCTGTGGGTAAAAATGGTTTATAAAATAAGATATCCATATTTAATCAAAGTTGTGCCTGCTTGATTTTGTAGCGCCTATCCACTTCTGTTTTTTAAATGATTTGAAAATTATTGTTTTCTATAATCCATTACAATTATTCAAAGCTTAAGAAAATTTCAACTGGTTTTTCGGCGAAGTTTTTCAAAAATCAATTTTTGAAACTCGAACATAAATAATTTACCAAAACATGATGTAGAGTAAAACTCAATTGGCGGGTGAACGTCGCAATAGCTGCTAACAAACTAATGGCCACGAAGGCAGAACAAAGCCCTTATCAGCTGAGCATGGACAATTAAATTAACTCGCTTTTATGACGTACAGCATTGCTGGTGTTGATTTTGAAGCGATAAGATATCCGCGCCTTATCGGAAGAACCGATATGCGCCTCGACCGATAGTTACGCGGCGCAAGCAACCCTGCACTCGGCGATTTCACCACAAGATGGCGGATGGCAGCTGTCAAAGCGAACACACCACACACACATAGACACTCGGCACAAACGTTTGTGCAAAGAAAAACGCAGAAAGATTTTAGCGGCGTCGGAAAAATTAGTGAAAAATCAATTGTAACTTGCTGAAAACCAGTATAAAACCTAGCAACCATGTCAATTGGAGTACCCATTAAAGTGCTGCACGAGGCCGAAGGCCACATAATCACTTGCGAGACTATTACCGGCGAGGTTTACCGGGGCAAACTCATCGAGGCGGAGGACAATATGAACTGCCAGATGACCCAGATCACGGTCACCTACCGGGATGGACGCACCGCCAACCTGGAGAACGTCTATATCCGTGGCTCCAAGATCCGTTTCCTCATACTGCCCGACATGCTAAAAAATGCCCCGATGTTCAAGAAGCAGACGGGCAAGGGATTGGGCGGGACGGCGGGAAGGGGCAAGGCAGCCATTCTGCGCGCACAGGGTGAGTCGGGCACTTTTGCTAACATATATTTCTACAAGACTGTCTTTTTAGAGAAATTATTATTTTATATAGTGTTTTAAGCTTCTAGAAGGTTCACCGTCATTGTTGCAAACACTTCTTCTTGAACACAACATAATCTAATGTTTATACATAAAAATGAATCTTAATTTAAAGTTTTAAGCACATTTTTATTCAAAATATTTGAGAATTAGAAAACCAGAATTAATATTAGACTTTTTTTCTTTAGAAAAGTTTACTTCGTTTTTACAATATCAAAATAGAACTTATAGTTTGTATGTGAAATAAGAATTTCAAGCACATTTTTATTTAAATGTGTGACTTCAAAATCCAGAAATTATCTTTGAATCTGCTAGTCAAGATAGTAATAACTAGATATTCAACGAAAAGGACAAATTCCTTCTCACCGATTAAAATGTACACATACAAAAAATAATTTTTAGTAAAATGACTAAGCAATGCAGCAATAATCGTTAAAGCCAGCTTTATTCCAATAATATTTATTTTATTTATCCTATATCTCCATAGAATACACAGAATTGTATTTCAAACAATCAATCAATTTATTCTTAAAGACAGTCTTGTAGTAAATGTTTGCCTTTCAACCTTTTATAGTGATAAATACTAATAATTTAATCCTCTTACAGCTCGTGGCAGAGGAAGAGGCGGGCCGCCGGGCGGAGGAAGGGGCAGTGGCGGACCGCCAGGAGCTCCGGGCGGCAGCGGCGGACGAGGAGCCTGGCAAGGAGGGCCCACCGGTGGACGGGGACGCGGCGGCCTGTAGGAACCGACTCCTCAAGAACGCATTTCTAATCTCTAAGTTGCGGGCACTATATTATTAGCGGGCGGGTTGAACTTCTCCAGATTTTTTGTAAAGTATTTATCAGGCATAAGAGCCAAAAATACAAACGAAACTTGAATTTGAAAACGCAGTCTGTTTGCTTTCTAAAAAAAAAAACAGCTGAAAGGCGTGGAAGGATTAAATACCATAACCAGAGGACGCTTACAAGTTATGCTTTAATCGAGTTAAGCACACCGTTGATATCGTCGCCTTTCGAATGTTATACAAAGAGAGCAATTCCATGACAGTATTACGATCAGTTTTAACTTGACTGTCGACGGATAGCTCTCTTCATTTCACTATTCGTGGAGAGTCCTTTCGGACTGAGATTCACCTCAACAGACAGGACAACGGACAGGTTAGGCCAGACAAACTGGGGATTAGTTAGGGTTAGTCTCAGCGCAGCGTCGAATATTATACAAAGAGAGCAATTCCATGACAGTGTTAATGGATTCTTGGACTGTCGACGGACAGCTCTCTTTATTCACTTATTCGCATTTGGATTTCGAATCGGATTCGTTCTAGGTGTTAATCAGACATACAATGAGGACGGCACAAAACGTACGGATACCTATACTATATACTCTATATTTGAATTGTTTGCCGGCAGAGTTCGTGCGAAATATGCCAAGCATTTTGTTGTTTCCTTTCTGCCAAGCCAATTAAATCAACAAACTGCGCACTTGGCAGAGCATTGTGAATTGAGCGAAATAGAGGCCTCTGAATGGGGACAGCGACCAGATGGATTCAAATATGTACCTTAATGGATGCACTTTATGGGAATGGCAAGGCAGTATTAATGCGAATCCGAATTGATGGCACGTGCAGGGCAATTGAAAATGCTTTCCCAATTAATAAAAAACTAGAGGGCTCTGCGGACGTACCCTTCAAAGTACTGGCTCTCTGACTGTGGCACCATGTCACTGGATGTCGTCATTGCCAAGTTAAATATTTTGTCGGGTAGAGATTTGGATTTATCACAGCTGCAGTTTACTTTCGTCTCTTGGTTTGCGTTCTTTATCTATCACAGGTTGCGTTGCTTTCGGTTTTTCGACGGGGCTTGGAATTCACATCGAAAAGATCTGTACTCTGGCACGGATTACTGCCTCTCCTGAGTGGGGATTTCTCGGCGATCTGTGAGGTGCTGTGCTTTGGGCGTTTGTCTGGCGACTGACGACATCCAAACGGTGGCGGCATCATTTATGTGATTAAGTAGCAGCGACTAGGAGGCCCCACGAGATATACATATACCCTAGTACCTAGTAGTCGAGACATATTTAGGCGGGTACAGTCGGTCAGGTATGGATCTGAATTGGGCGGGGGTTGACTCACAACAGACCAAGGTCAAATGGAGCGCATTCCGCCCCGCAAAATGATGGTGAATCGCTAAACAAATAAGGCGCAAATAACTTAGTATAAGCAAAAATGCCGGCAATCCCACCATTTTATTTACAAAATCCCAATGGCCAAAACAAATATACGAAGAGAGAGCTTTTGCTATAAATATCGGGAAAATTAATATACAAAAGTCTGTGAGAAATATCTATAGTGCGCCATTTAAGTCAAGTCAAAAAACATGGCTACTTTTTTTGGCCGCACGTGTCTGTCATTTTTTTTGCAGACAAACTTACTAAAACAAAAAAAAATGACAAATCAATATGGGCGATAACTGCCATAAACAAAACTCTAAATATAGCTATAATGTGATATAAGAAGGGGTTTTCAAAAGGGAATAAAGGGGTAAAGTCAACGTGACGCTGTCTGTATTATGAATATTTGAATACTTGTCTACGAACATCAGAGGTCACCAAGTAATAAATTTCACTCTCTTTATGGATTTTAGTTCTTTTAAAATAGATATTGAACAGTTTACTATTCGAAAATCTTTAAAAGAAGGTTATTATGTATGTTTATCTTTAGAAGAAGACCTATAAAGCAAGTTATTGCTTAATTTATAGAGGACAAATTATGTTATCATTAAAATGACATTGAAAGAGCCCCGAATTTAATTGCCATAAAACTTAATGCAGTACTATTTCAACATTATAGTCAAAATCAAAGAAAATTTACTTGAGAGCCATAAGACGTTTAATAATAAACTCGGTATATTTAAAAAGTTTTGAAGGTTTTATTTTTGTGACCCTAACTGTTATTCGCCGTCAAAACGTGTATGAGACCGCATATTTTTGTTGTATTATTTTACAGATATACCAGCCAATCCCGTATTGCTGATCACGTGTCATCGAAAAAACAGTACTAAGTAATGCCGACGAGTCCTAAATGCGAGTTTTTATATAATCACCCTTTTAATGTAAACCTTGGTGCTAAGCTTTGTCATTTCTACCTGCGTACGATGCAGCGCAAGTGAAGTAAAACAAAGAAAATCGAGTCATATAGATAGAACACTAACTAGATTTGATCTAGATAAAAAATATGTGATAAGAAGACGTAATTGGTGCGCTTGTGTAATCAACATCAAAACTTAACGTTCTGCTTGGACAAATATTAGGGGATCACGGTACAATCTTTCGACAGGGACAACAGCCGTAAAAAAATAAGTATACTAAGCAAACAACTAGGAGGATTTCAGACAAAAGCAAAACAAGATGTCATAAAACAAACACACTCAAAATTATATGGTAGCACCAGAACAATAGGTGCGATAAGGGCTACGATCTCATGAGGTTTGGAAAGATAAGATAAAAGAGGGAGGAAAAGAAGGAGAAATAAAAAGAAAGAAGCTGCTAGAAAAAGAGCTGATGACCCAATATTTCTGTATATACAGCCGTCTCTTTCTCACCACTTTATCTCACTTGCCACAGAAAAAAAAAAACAAAGCAAAACTGCAATGGCGAGTGGAATTTTCCCTTGTTTATATCAATTGCTCTTTATGTGTATGTGTTTGTTTGTTATATGACATAATGAATGGCCATGTTTCATGCAAGAAGGAAAAATAAGACTTCAGTTCAGTTGGTTTCTGGATAATTCCAATCATAAACAATATGGTTGCACATAACCCAAAAACAACGGTAAATCCACCGTTTTTTTTGCTCAAATGAATACTCTCCAAATGATAATTTAAATAAACAGGCGAAACAGGTAAACAAAGGAAAAAGCAATACACGCACACACGCATATTAAATGGTTCTCCAATTGGAAGGGGAGTCAAACTGTAAATAAAAGTGGGGTACGGCGTTGCCAGATGCGCAAACATGATGTGTCTTTTGCGCTAATTAATTAATAAACAAGACCTGCAAACAAATGGATTATTAAAACGTTATTGGAAAGCGGATGCATTATTGTTATTTATTTGTGTTTACAATCAACAAAATAATCAAAGTGGCGACTACAGGATGGCAACCCTGCGGTCGGCCATCTTGAACTGAACTCAAAAACAGTAAATAAATAAGTCATAATAAAGTAAAAAATTAAATTTCACAATTTCAGCTGAAATCAATTATTTACTTTACTTACGAAACGTGCTAGCACACAAGCATGGCCACAAATTTCATTATTTATTTCCGCCGTTCCTTTTGTTTTTGCCTTTGTGTGCGTCACAGATGATATTACAAAAAAAAACATTCTGACCCACACAGCTGCACCTGACTAGGTGAATGCATGTGTGTGTGTGTACGTGAGAAAATAAACCAACACCGTTACCCGATTTATTAGCAGGTTACACTAAAACTATTGCACTACAAACCATTGCAACCAAACCTATTTGCCACCAATTGGAAAGGGGTCGTGGACTCCCTCGCACTATTTTCATTTCTCTTTTTTTTCTTCTTTCTTGCACTACAAAATCGAGTTTGCACTTTTTTTTTCTTTGTGTATGGCATCCAAATGGAGACCACTACTTACAGTTTATTATTCATATTGGATGGCATTTTAACACTTAATGGTTGCAACTTAACGCACTGAGAATAAATCGAATTGAACGAAATTTGACTTTTGTGTTGAAACTGGCTTTTTGTGGGGTGCAAACCTCCCAGCTATTTATGATGTGATTGCGTTGAAAGTTAGTATAAAACTGACAAATATACCAGCGTGACTTTCATTTTATAGCTTTTGGTGGGGGGTTTTTCGGGAGATTTTCTGTTGTTAAGGTATGGGCACACTAATTGCAAAAATACTTTCCAGCCTAGAGGTGGTAAGCATCGATATTTCTCAAACTATTTATTTAGGGCCCTTCACTTCTCAACGAGGTTCTGATTAACAGTAAAAGTAAACGTTATTTAATATTTCTCAAATATCTTCATGATTTTGTGAAAACCTTGTTATCCAGAATTTATTTTGTTTTGAATTAATTTCTAATAAACTATTGATTAGTCATACATATCAAAAAAGAAAGTTTAAAATTATTTTTTGCATTTGATATATTTAGTCCCAAATTACTTTTTAAACCCTTCTATATTGGTTTATTATTTTAGTCTAAAGACCCTATAAGGTATATATTCTTGATCAGCCAACTAGTCTCTCAGTGTTTAAGCTGTCTGGATAAAACGTTCTCAAAAGTCTTCTTTATATTGCAGGATGTACGGAAACACGGTATTAATTAAAAAAATAAAAATCGAGACATGGATTTTTTTTATGATTTCGATATTTAAATTTTGTTCATTATCATTTAGCTGCACAAATTTGTACGCCCAAAAATCGTTTCTTAAAATATTAAAATTTTGTTAAGCTGGTTTGTTTAGATTTAAAGTTTTCTATAACAAAAATGAAACAAATTTCAAAAATCCGAATATTATATACCCGAATAAACTTCGGTTTTCTGAAATTTGTTTCCTTATTGGTATAATGTTTCATAGGCAAACTCCAGAAAGCCAAAGTTTATTTGGGTATTCTTGTTATAGAAAACTTGAAAACTAAACAATTAAAAGCTTTCTATACGTCTTTAAAAAACAAAGTTTGCTTATGAAACATTATAGGATCCACGATATAAAAGTCCTAAAACTTTTACTATTTGGCTATTAAAGGGAATACCCCAAATACGTATCTTAAATTAGAAAAGAAGGCTGATGTGTATCGATATTAATCGGTTCGTTTTCCACCACCAACCAAAACGCGTTAGGTGTAATTTAGGTTCAGTCGTTCGTTCGTTGGAGCTTCGGAAAATAAACTCGGGAAATAAATCTTGGTAAAACGTGCGAATCCGTCAACTTTTTAACTCAAAAACCATGAGCGCCTTTCCCGGAACGTTCGCGTTCGACGAATATGGTCGGCCTTTCATCATCCTGCGCGACCAGGAGCGCCAGAAGCGCATCACAGGAACAGATGCCATAAAGGTAAATGGGGAAAAAACTGCCGGTTCTTGACAGTGGACTCCTCATCCTGGTGGAGCCTTAACAGAGGAGTTCCCAGGAATGAAGTCTTCTTTAAAGACCCTTTTCTTAAATGAGCACCAAGAATGACGCATCGTCTGTGGAACATTCCAGATGTTCTATGAAGCCGGTTTGGAATGGGCTGACAGTCGTTAGCTTTAATAAAAATGATGCATATATCCTGCCTAAAGAGTGAGCAGGACCTTCAAGCATTAATTTATTCCTTAGTTGCATTGATAAACAAAGAGTTTAACAAAACTTAACTGTCTGGCGGATTTTGAGGTTAAAACGCCGACCAGATGTTTTTCTTTCATTGCCGGCTGAGTCACGCGCACTGTGAAAAGTTTGGATATTGAAGGGAATACAATAAAAATGCCCTAAAAGACAAAGTCTAACTGAAACTATCAAATTTGGTGTTATAATATGAACTTATTTACCTATCTTCAAAAACAACAAATGTATTATCATAAGTTAGTTGTATTCTAATACATCTATGGTATAGATGCAACTGCTTTTGTCTAAACTTTAATCATTTTAAAAGAACCAATAAGATCTGTATTGGAGTTATTAGTTATTTTGATTGAAACCTATAAACTGGGTTTAGCAAAGATAGGTAGTAATAGAATTCTAAATAACGTCATTAATTTCCCTTTCCTTCTCCTTTACAGACGCACATTATGGCCGGCCGCCAGATCGCCTCCACTCTGAAGACCTCTCTGGGTCCCAAGGGTCTGGACAAGATCATGGTGAGCCCCGATGGCGATGTGACTGTGACCAACGACGGCGCCACCATCATGAAGCTGATGGAGGTTGACCACGAGATTGCCAAGCTGATGGTGCAGCTGTCGCAGTCGCAGGACGACGAGATCGGCGATGGAACCACCGGCGTTGTGGTCCTGGCCGGAGCTCTGCTGGAGCAGGCGGAGGGTCTGATCGACAGGGGCATCCATCCCATTCGTATCGCTGATGGCTTTGAGTTAGCCGCTCAGTGCGCCATCAAGCAGCTGGACGCGATCGCCCAGCCCTTCCCAGTGGATCCGAAGAACAAGGAACCCCTGATCCAGATTGCAATGACCACCCTGGGCAGCAAGATCGTGAACAAGTGCCATCGTCAGATGGCCGAGATGGCTGTGGATGCCGTGCTGAATGTGGCCGACATCGAGAAAAAGGACGTGAACTTCGAGCTGATCAAGATCGAGACCAAGGTCGGCGGTCGCATGGAGGACTCGATGCTGGTGAAGGGCGTCATCGTGGACAAGACCCTCAGCCACTCGCAGATGCCCAAGGAGCTGAAGAACGTCAAGTTGGCCATCCTCACCTGCCCGTTCGAGCCCCCGAAGCCGAAGACCAAGCATAAGCTCGATGTGACCTCCGCGGAGGATTACAGGGCACTGCGCGAGTACGAGCAGGAGAAGTTCACGCAGATGGTCAAGCAGGTAAAGGATGCCGGCGCCACTTTGGCCATCTGCCAGTGGGGCTTCGACGACGAGGCCAACCACCTGTTGCTGCAACAGGAACTGCCCGCCGTGCGCTGGGTAGGCGGTCCGGAGATCGAGCTGATTGCCATCGCCACTGGTGGACGCATCGTGCCGCGCTTCGAGGAGCTCACAGCCGAGAAACTGGGTCATGCTGGACTCGTCCGCGAGATGGGTAGGTCTTCGTCCATTAGAATTGGCTTGATATAAAGTAGAGCCTTGTGTTAATTGACCTTTTCTCCTTTTAGCCTTTGGCACTTCCAAGGACAAGATGCTGGTCATCGAGGAGTGCAAGAACTCCAAGGCCGTAACCATCTTCTTGCGTGGCGGCAACGCCATGATCATCGCCGAAGCCAAGCGGTCCATCCACGACGCCATCTGCGTGGTGCGCTCGCTGGTGAAGGACTCGCGTATTGTTTATGGCGGCGGAGCGGCTGAGATCAGTTGCTCGCTGGCGGTGGCCAAGGAGGCCGACCAGCTGTCCACCCTGGAGCAGTACGCCTTCCGCGCCTTCTCTGTGGCCCTGGAGAGCATTCCGCTGGCCCTTGCCGAGAACAGCGGCCTGCATCCCATCGAGACGCTCTCGGAGCTGAAGGCCAGCCAGGTGGCAGAGAAGAAGCCCAGCCTGGGTGTGGACTGCATGCTGTCGGGCGATTCTGACATGAAGAGCCACAATGTGGTGGAGTCGCTGCACTCGAAGAAGCAGCAGATCCTCCTCTCCACGCAGCTCGTCAAGATGATACTCAAGATCGACGACGTGCGTTCGAAGAACGAAGGCGGCATGTAACGACCCACTAAAACACCACGCATCAGATCCAGTTTTAGATTCACATCCCCTCGCTTTGCTATCTCTTCACGAACACCGCCTCATCTCGTACATCTGTATTAATTGTTTACTTTTATTAATCCACAAGTTCTTTGGAAAAGAAGAAAATTACATTATACAAAGGGGCTATCCCTGGTCAAATACACTAAAACCAAACTAAGACATCAACTAGACTTTCTTGCCATTGATGGTGGCCAGTTGTTTGCGGTTGATCTGGTCGAAGAAGAGCAATCCCGCCGAGCGTTCCACGCTTTCCGGCGGCACCTGGAACACGCTGATGGGAGTATCGTTGCTGATCACTTGATTGGGCATCACATAGGACTCCATGTGGAGCTTGTGGTCCGGGGATTCGCTCACTATGACCTTGTAAAAGTGTGTGGGCACTGCCACCGTGTTGGCCCCAATGACTTCGTACTTCACGTAGGTCTTTCCATCATCCTCCTTGTGTGGCAGGTAAAGTGGTCCCGTGCAGACATACACATTGGAGTTGCTCTTGGTCAGTTTGCGCACGTGCGTCTCCAGGGTGTTCCACGCATCCCGGTTGAATCCCTGGCCCACCTGTGGCGCCATGTTTGAGAGGTAAAAGGTCTCGTCGCAGTGCTTCTGGTGGAGCCGATGGTTCCCGGCGGCGGCCATGTGCCCGCGGTCGTATCCCGATCGCCTGTAATCCGTGTTCTGGGACCTGAAGAAAGGATGGAGGCTCTCATCCTGCCGGAAATCACATTTGGCCCTGTCCACTGCGTCGTTCTTGGCCACCGACTCCGCCGTTAGGTGCTCGAAGACCCAGTGGGGCACTCGGTTCCTCCGATCGTAGGACAGCACGTAGTCCGAGTGGGATCGCACGTGATCCAGTCCCGGAAAGCCGTACTTCATGATCTGACCGATCCGCGAGGGTGTCGCCGCCAGGCTGACATTCGCCTCTTGAGCGGGAATCAAACTGGCCGCCGAAACAGTTCCAAAGGTGGGTAGACCCGGCAGGCGGGGAAGGCTATTGGTGCATCCATCGTTCAGGCGTTGACGCTCCACGTGGGAGCCCAGGTAAAAGGCGCCCAGGGCGGTGGCTCCAAGGGCTAGTACGCTGCCCACTCGTCGTCCCCTCATTTCTGCGGTTTAATTAATAAATTTATAATTTCTTACAACGACTAAATGACGACCGCTATTGCACAATTCAGGTACTTCAGTGTGACCGAGTCATAAGTTTCTGAAAAAACTATTTTGGTTTTGAAAACATGCTGGAAACACCTCCATAGTTTATGTTTTTCAAATTTTAAAAATATGCCAATAACGTATTTATACTATAAAATAAAATAAAAATAAATAACAATTTCGGTTTTTCTAACTTTACATTGAATAAAAAATAGCCATTTAGTTGGTTCCGTAACCTGTAAAATATATCAGATTATAAAAAAAAAACTTCGTATCCGGGGCTTAACAGTATATATATATATTATTGTATAAGTTTTAATTTAAAAATGTTTAGGAATACATTTAAGCCACAATTATTTTTTAGAAGACTGATTATGAAAAATAAATGTTTATTTTAAATTGATCAAACGTTCCCAAGTATAAACTTAATGGATTGGTTGGTGGTTAATGAAAACACACTTTGGATCCGTTGGATATTCGATTTGAAATAATAATAATTATAAGTGGTTGGGGCTATTTAAAGCTATCGTATATGCACATTTATCTTACATATATGTCAAGATCAAGACGGTTTCACTGCACTTGTATTTCTCCACTTTGTTTGCTTCTATATCTATATTCGCAGTTCAAAGCTTTCAAATCCGAGCTTTGTCGATTCCATTTCGTTTCGTTCTACCGAGGTTTTATTTGACGAGGTTATCTGCCTGGGCTTGTTTACATTGGAACTTGGAACTGGAGCTGATTAGAAGCAAATCTCGTCCAGAGGCAGTGTTCAGTTGAAAGTGAAATCCGTGTAGAGAGGATGCTGGATGTGGTGGCTCTACTGCTGATCGGCCTGGCGGTGGGCTTTTGGTTTGTGCGCACGCGATTGAGTTACTGGACCAGAAGGGGTATTGGCAATGTCCCCGGCCGGTTTCCCGTGGGGAATATGGATGGTTTCCGGAAAACGAAGCACTTCATCGATATTATAACACCGCTGTATGAGAAGTTCAAGAGCAATGGAGCACCCTTCGCTGGGTTTTTTATGATGATGCGACCTGTTGTGCTGATCACGGACTTGGAACTGGCCAAGCAGATTCTTATACGGGACTTCGCCAACTTTGAGGATCGTGGCATGTACCATAATGAGCGCGATGATCCTCTGACTGGCCATCTATTCCGCATCGATGGACCCAAATGGCGACCCCTGCGCGTGAAGATGACACCCACATTCACATCCGCCAAGATGAAGTACATGTTTCCCACGGTGTGCGAGGTGGGTGTGGAACTGGCTCAGGTGTGCGGCGAAATGGCGGATAGTGCCATGTGCGGGATCCTAGAGATTGGTGATCTGATGGCCCGCTATACCTCCGATGTCATAGGCCGTTGTGCCTTCGGAGTGGAGTGTAACGGCCTTCGGAATCCCGAGGCGGAGTTTGCCAAAATGGGCAGAAGAGCCTTTTCGGAGCGTCGCCACTGCAAACTGGTCGATGGGTTCATCGAGAGTTTTCCCGATCTTGCTCGCCTGCTGCGCATGCGTCAGATCCATCAGGACATCACGGATTTCTATGTGGGCATCGTCCGGGAAACTGTAAAGCAAAGGGAGGAGCAGGGAGACGTGAGGAGTGACTTCATGAACCTGCTGATCGAAATGAAGCAGAGGGGTGAACTGACCATCGAGGAAATGGCCGCCCAGGCTTTCATATTCTTTGTAGCTGGGTTCGACACCTCCGCTTCGACCTTGGCATTCGCCCTGTACGAACTGGCCAAGCAGCCGGAACTTCAGGTGAAGCTTCGCCAGGAAATCGACGACGCCCTGAATTTGCATCAGGGGGAATTCACCTACGATTCCATGCAGGAGCTGCGCTACATGGAACTTGTCATTGCAGGTGGGTCTTACCGAGACAACAAACTGAACTTAACAAATTAATGTATACTAGGGACTGACAAAAAGGTTATATGGAAAATCGTTTAACCAATTGGATTATTTTTATGTAAATCCATAATAATTTTGTAAATAATACTTGTGATGAATTCCAGATGAAAAAATGTTATGCTTGTTGCTTATTATAATATGAAGACGCTATTATTATAATATTATAAGTTTATTTGATAAAAAAGTTTTTAAGAAAAAATGTAACAATAGATCTGTGTAAGATATTATTTACTTCAGATAAGGTAACAACATAAGTAAACATAAACAACTTGAGATATGAAAATATCAGATTGATATTGATACGTTTTTATTACCTTATTACATTATGCTTAACTCTTCTCCTTTCCAGAAACTCTTCGGAAATATCCCATACTGCCGCAGCTTACGCGGATCTCCAGACACTTATATGCCGCCAAGGGGGACCGTCATTTCTATATTGAGCCCGGACAGATGGTACTGATTCCGGTCTACGGCATCCATCATGATTCGGCTTTGTATCCATGGCCCAACAATTTCATACCGGAGCGGTTTTTGGCCGACCAACTGGCCCAGCGTCCCACCGCCTCGTGGCTTCCCTTCGGCGATGGACCTCGCAATTGCATCGGAATGAGGTTCGGCAAGATGCAGACGACCATTGGCCTGGTCAACCTGCTGAGGAACTTTCACTTCAGCGTATGTCCTCGAACTGACCCCAAAATCGAGTTTGCCAAGTCCAATATTCTGCTGTGCCCCGCCAATGGTATCTACTTGAAAGTCCAAGAACTTAGCCAACTGCGAAAATAGTGGTTCCAATTAAATAAGTAACCCATATATTTTAATTTGATTATGTATATAATGTCTATGTATAAATACATATTATAATACAATTTTTATGAATATACGCAATGGTAAATATATCATTGATAAAGCTTGGTACTAATGCACCTTTATTATACCTAATCTCATTTTTTACCCATTTGATTATTTTGTTTTTGTCGTCACTGGCATTATCAGAAAAACATTAAGGTGTAGGAACTTGACAAAAGTATTTCACCAGGTTATCTGATATTTAATAACGTGTTTCTTTCTGATAAAATCATGCAAAAATAACAATCATTTTTTTTAAATATATAAAAAATATCTAATTTCGTTCTCCCGCAGAGTACAACAAGTTTGATTGGCCTATAAATCATCATAATTAAAAATATATTTGAGTAAGAGTTGAGGTTGCAAAACACAGATAAACAAATGGTTACTATCTTATCAAGAGAACTTACATGAAATCTTGGGGAAAAGAAGAAATTGAGCTTATAAAAGCTTATTAAAGTCGCCTTTCGCATTTAGTTTAGAGCGGAACGTGAACGAGAAATGTCGATGCTATTTACGCTGATCGCGCTTACATTGTCGTTGCTTATATTTTTTGCACGACGACATCTTCAGTATTGGCGGCGCCGGAATATTCCTCATGATGTGCCACATCCACTTTTCGGAAACCTCAAGGACTGGCAGAATAAGCGTCATATTGGCCATATTTTTCGGGACTACTACTTGAAATACAAGGATTCGTGCTACCCGTTTGCTGGATTCTTCTTCTTTTTCACCAAGACTGTTGTGGTGACCGATTTGGATCTGGTCAAGAGAGTGCTGATCAAGGACTTCAATCACTTCGAGAATCGGGGTATTTTCTACAACGAGATCGATGATCCGCTTTCGGCTACCTTGTTCAGCATCGAAGGTCAGAAGTGGCGGCATTTGAGGCACAAGTTGACTCCCACTTTTACGTCCGGCAAAATGAAGAACATGTTCCCTATAGTCGTGAAAGTTGGAGAGGAAATGGATACGATATTCAAGGGTAAAACTACTTTCGGTGAAAGTCCAGTCTTGGAGGTTGTCGATCTTGTGGCACGATATACCGCTGACGTAATAGGTAACTGCGCCTTTGGTCTGAATTGCAATAGTTTGCATAATCCAGAGGCGGAATTTGTGACAATTGGCAAACGGGCGGTCGTTGAACATCGCTATGGAAATATGTTGGATATATTTCTTTTCGGCTTTCCCAAGTTATCACGCCGTTTGCGTCTAAAACTAAACGTCCAGGAGGTGGAGGACTTCTACACCAGAATCGTAAGAGAAACAATTGAGTACAGATTGAAGACTAAGGAGAAGCGAAACGACTTTATGGACAGTCTGATTGAAATGTATAAAAATGAGCAGGCTGGCAACTCGGAGGACGGTCTTACGTTCAACGAGCTCCTTGCCCAGGCTTTCATCTTCTTTGTGGCAGGCTTCGAGACGAGCTCTACGACCATGGGATTCGCGCTCTTTGAACTGGCCCGCCATCAGGATGTTCAGGATAAACTCAGGGAGGAGATTAACCATGTTCTGGGCAAGCACAACAACGAGTTCACCTACGAGGGAGTCAAGGAAATGAAGTTTTTGGAGCAAGTCGTCATGGGTAAAGTTCTATAAGTTAAAATTATATTGTAAAACAAAAAAGTAATTAATACTTTTGCTCCTAGAAACTCTTCGAATATACCCCGTTTTGGCGCATCTTTCGAGAGTGACCGAGACGGACTTTTCACCTGAGGACCCCAAGTACTTTATCGCCAAGGGAACAAACGTTGTGATCCCAGCTCTGGGCATTCACTTTGATCCTGAAATATATCCAGATCCGGAAAAATTTAAGCCGGAACGTTTCACGGACGAGGCAATCGCTGAAAGACCCTCATGCACCTGGCTTCCGTTTGGAGAAGGTCCCCGGAATTGCATTGGACTTCGATTCGGACTAATGCAGGCCTGTGTGGGATTGGCCTATCTGATCAGGGGCTATAAGTTTAGTGTGGCCCCGGAGACCGAAATTCCTATACAGGTTGTACCGAAAAGCGTTCTTTTATCCGCCAAAAATGGTATCCATCTGAAAGTTGAGAAGCTTTCCAAATAGGTTTATATCATTTACTAGTAACCCTAACTTGAGATTCGCAACTGCTGAGACCTATAATGTAGGTAACAAAATTGTTAACTATTATTTATAAAAATAAATTAATTTTTGATCAATATTAAAAAAATTGGATTTGTATTATAAATTAAGCTGAGAAATTGTAATCAAATTTATAGTTCCATACCTTCCATTTGTATACTTTTTCTCAAGTTGATTTTAATACCATGCAAAAACTAAAGCCCTCGGAAAATCTAAACACAATAATTTGTTTTATTACGTATGGAAGCAATGACTCTTCAAGAATGATAAGAGTGATTAGGAATGATTATCAATAAGAACAATTGTATACAGGTTGCCAAGGAAAATATCAGGGAAAATGCCTATTTCACCAGACAGTGCCGTATTACACACAAAGATTTAAATTGTGTACAAAGTTAGATTAATTTTCGTAATCTTATATTAACGTATCTAAAGTAATAGTACTGTGCAAAATGAAAATGTTATACCCAATGGAAAATATAATCAAGTATTATTTCATTTGCAGAGTCCAAATTGTGTATTAAATGATTGGTTGAGTGCGCAGAGAATATTTTCAAACTTTGGTTGATTGCCTTTTATTGTCGGTTCGGTTGCGTAAGCGAGATTATTTTGTTTGAAACAAGAACAACAAGTTTTCTCTCTGTAAACATGAAGATTGACTCTCTTGAGTTGCCTTATGAGTTTTCGAAGTTAGCCAACCTTTGATAATGTGTTATATGTTAAGGTATGTTTTTTAGTTAACAAAAAATTATAAAATGAGGCATTCCCACGCAAAAACAAAATATGTACGACTTTATCGAAAAAGCTAAAAATAGGGTTCAGTAAGAGAGATTAAAAGAGAACGGTTCCCTTATAAACGTCGTAGCATTTCGCTTTTGAGTTCAGTGTGGAGCGGAACCTGGTCGAATAATGTCGCTGTTACTGTCGTTGATCGCACTTGTAGTGTCGTTGCTTTTGTACCTCGCGCGACGTCGTCTTGGATATTGGCAGAGCAGAGGTATTCCCCACGATGTGCCACACCCACTTTACGGAAACATCAAGGATTGGCCCAAGAAAAGACACATTGCCCATATCTTTCGGGACTACTATATGAAGTACAAGGGTTCGGACTACCCATTCGCCGGGTTCTACTTCTTTTTCACCCGGACCGCTGTAATCACCGACCTGGAACTGGTCAAGAGAGTGATGATCAAGGACTTCAATCACTTCGAGAATCGGGGCATTTTCTACAACGAGATCGATGATCCGCTTTCGGCTACCTTGTTCAGCATCGAAGGTCAGAAGTGGCGGCACTTGAGGCACAAGTTGACTCCCACTTTTACGTCCGGCAAAATGAAGAACATGTTTCCAATTGTTGTAAAAGTGGGTGAGGAATTGGAGAAGGTCTTCAGCGGTAAAATCACTTCAGGTCAAGGTGAAGTTCTCGAAATTGTGGATCTGGTGGCACGTTACACGGCTGACGTAATCGGCAATTGCGCCTTTGGTCTTAATTGCAATAGTTTGCACAATCCAAAAGCAGACTTTGTGACAATTGGAAAACGGGCGATCGTTGATCGTCGCTATGGAGGATGGCTGGATTTCTTCCTATTCGGTTTTCCAAAGCTATCACGCCGCTTGCATCTTAAGTTGAACGTTCAGGAAGTTGAGGACTTCTACACTGGAATCGTAAGAGAAACCATTGACTACCGATTGAAGACCAAGGAGAAGCGCCATGACTTTATGGACAGTTTAATCGAAATGTACCAGAAGGAACAGGCGGGAAACACTGAGGATGGTCTGTCATTTAACGAGATTTTGGCCCAGGCTTTCATCTTCTTTGTGGCTGGCTTCGAGACGAGTTCTACGACCATGGGATTCGCTCTCTACGAGCTGGCTCGCAATCAGGATGTTCAGGATAAACTCAGGGAGGAGATAAACCATGTTCTGGGCAAGCACAATAACGAGTTCACCTACGAGGGAGTCAAGGAAATGAAGTATCTGGAACAGGTAGTAATGGGTGAGTCATCTGCAAACACTTAATTGGGTTATAATAATTAATCCAAGCCGCCTTTTTAACTCCTTAGAAACTCTTCGAAAGTACCCAGTGCTGGCTCATCTTACGAGAATGACACAGACTGACTTTTCACCGGAGGACCCCAAGTATTTCATTGCCAAGGGCACAGTCGTCGTAATTCCAGCTCTGGGCTTTCACTACGATCCGGAAATCTATCCCGAACCGGAAAAGTTCAAGCCGGAGCGTTTCACGGAGGAGGCAATCGCTGAGAGATCATCGTGCACCTGGCTTCCGTTCGGCGAAGGTCCCAGAAACTGCATCGGACTTCGATTTGGATTAATGCAGACCTGTGTGGGATTGGCCTATTTGATCAGGGGCTATAAGTTTTGTGTGGCCCCGGAGACACAAATACCTATGAAGATTGTCGTGAAGAGCATTTTAATATCCGCAGAGAACGGTATCCACCTTAAAGTCGAGAAGGTTTCCAAATGAGATTATAATACAGGTTATAATTATTTATTCCTGTAAATACGATTTTGTTGAGTATAAAGGGAGAAATAAATGTATATTAGGTATTGACAGTAATTCTATTGTCGGATTTATATTATTTACTGCGATGTGAATTTCCTTTAAAATTATCTAACTTTCCGCCAGTCTAAAAAATAGAAAATAATACGTACAAGTTAAACTCCATTAAAGATCATTTTAGGTGAACGATTTTAAGTTTAGTTTTGCATGGAAAGTGTACGAGGAATGTCTCTGTTAATATCTCACCCCAACTGCTGAGGTGCCCAATTTGGATCTTGGTAATGATCAAGGACGTAAATCACTTCGAGAATTGGGTATGATTACTACAACGAAATCGATGATTATCTGTGTTCTAAAGTGGTGAAGTTGGAGAGGAATCGGATACGATCTTCAATGGTAAAACTACTTTAGGTGAATGTCCAGTTTTGGAGGTGTTTCATCTTGTTGCACTGTATACTACTGATTTAATAGGTAACTGGGCCTCTGGTCTGAATTGCAATAGTTTGGTCCACCCATCGCGGAATTTGTGACAATTGCCAAAATATGCTAGATATATTTATTTTCGGCTTTCCCTTCACCAGGAGGTGGACGACTCCTACACCGGAATCGTAAGAGAAACATTCGCCTACAGATTGAAGACCAACGAGAAGTGAGACGACTTAAAACTTTTCTTAAGTAGTATTTACTACCTCTCCCACCAGAAGCACTTCACAAATACCTAGCTCTAGCGCATCTAACGAGAATGACCGAGTCGGACTTTTCACCCGAAGATCCCAAGTTAATGCAAAGTCGTCGTAATTCCAGCTCTGGGCATACACTACGATCCGAAAATATGTCTCGAACGGAAAAAAATTAAAGCGCAAGATATTTTCAGAGGAGGCAATCGTTGCTAGATTGTCGAAGTCCTAGCTTCCATTTGGCGAAGGTCCCTGGAACTGCATTGGATTGCTATTCAAGCTAAGGCAAGCCTGTGTAGGAATGGCCTTTCTGGTCAGTGGCTATAAGTTTAGTGCGGCCCCGGGGATTGAAGACCAAATTGAGGATATCATAAAGAGCATCCTGCTTTAAGCCGAAAATGGAATTTACCTTAAGGTGGAGAGAATTGCCTAGTGAGATTATAAAAGATAGGTTCATTGTTGAATCTCTGGTTTAACTGATCGGTTACAATGTAAACTAATTTATTTGCTGTTCTTGTTTATAATAATTAATATTACAGGTAACTTCTAAGCAAATTTATCGTGAGCCCTTTTTTTTTAAGGTATAAAAATGAGTATTATTAATGATTATCATATTATTATTTAAAGATTTTTCGTAAATCGATGTTGTTTCCAGAAAATGATTTTAAAAGAAAGGAAGGGATAAATGAATACAGAAAAATCCTTATAAGTTTTCCTATAATAGCACAAACTTTATTTTCTATTTTTAGAAAGAGTAATATTGAAGCCAGTTTTAGTGTATCGCCATTAAAAAACTAATTTTAAAGAATTTATTATTTTTTAATATTTTCCCATTTGTTTTTTCATATGGATTATGGTTCCTATTACCATTTCCATTTTAAGCTTTTGATTTTCGTGATTTAGATCTAGCAAAGGGCGACTAGAGATAAGACAATACAAAGCTCTTTTTTTTTTGTCGAAGCCACGTTTTCTTGGACTAGCAATTCAGTGTTCTTGAAATGGCGGTCCTACTTGGTTTGCTGGTTGGTGCTCTTACCCTCGCTGTTTGGTGGGTACTTCAAAACTACACCTACTGGAAGCGTCGCGGTATTCCACATGATCCGCCCAATATTCCACTCGGCAACAGCCGAGAATTTTGGCGGACAATGCAGCTGGCCGAAATTATCAAGCGAAGCTACCTGAAATTCAAGAACCAGACCGACGGACCCTTTGTGGGCTTCTACCTTTATGCGAGGAAATATATCGTTGTCACCGACATTGATTTTGTGAAAACCGTGCTGGTCAGCGACTTTGACAAGTTCCACGATCGCGGAGTGTATCACAACGAGCGGGATGATCCATTGACCAGTAACCTAACTACTATGGAGGGTCAGAAGTGGAGAAATCTCCGCCAGAAGCTTACTCCGGCTTTTACGCCTGCGAAAGTGAAGACCATGTTTCCAGCAGTTTTAAATGTGGCCCATGAACTGATTCGGGTGATCGATGAAAAGATCTCAAGTTCCCCGCAGACCCTGGAAGTCAGCGATCTGATGGCCCGCTTCACCGCCGACGTGATCGGAACCTGCGCCTTTGGCCTGGAATGCAATAGTTTGCGCGATCCCAAGGCGGAGTTTGTCCAAATGGGTAATGCGGCGCTCAGGGAACGACGTCATGGCTGGCTGGTGGACCTGCTAATCTTCGGAGCACCCAAGATAGCCGTCATGTTGGGAATCGAGCTGCTGCTTCCGTCGGTGCAGAAATTCTACATGAATATTGTTAGGAACACTATAGACTATAGAGTAGAGAACAAGATAACTCGGAACGATTTCTTGGACTTGCTGATCGATATGAAGTTAAAATACGATAAGGGCGATAAGCAAAACGGGCTTAGCTTTAATGAGATTGCTGCCCAGGTTTACTCGTTCTTTCTGGCTGGCTTTGAAACGAGCTCCACAACCATGGGATTTGCCCTCTATGAACTCTCCTGCAATCAAGATGTTCAGGATAAACTGAGGATGGAAGTCGATACTGTGCTGAAGAAGCATGATGGACAATTAGACTACAACAGCATGCGAGAGATGTCTTATATGGAAAAGGTCATAGATGGTGAGTTACTTGGTTACTCTATAGTGTTCTTAACTATCTCCTAAAGATACGTTCCCTTTTTAGAAACGCTTAGAAAATACCCTGTTCTGGGCTTTTTGGTACGCATTGCAACTAAACCCTATGTGCACAGCAGCCCAAAATATTTCATTGAACCTGGCACTGGAGTTATGGTCTCCAATTTGGGCATCCACCATGATCCCGACTTCTATCCGGAGCCGGAAAAGTTCATCCCAGAGCGCTTCGATGAGGAGCAGGTTAAGAAGCGACCGCCTTGCACTTTCCTGCCTTTCGGCGATGGTCCCCGGAATTGTATAGGTCTTCGATTCGGACGGATGCAGGTCTTCGTCGGATTGGCCCTGCTCATCCACAATTTTAAGTTTGAATTGCACCCCACAAAGACATCTGTTCTAGTCAATTTCAAAGTTAAGAATATTTTATTGAGTTCCGAAGACGGGTTTAACCTTAATGTCAGCAAGGTAGTGAAAGTCTAAAAAAATGTTGTAAATGTTTTTCTATTTTCTTTAAGAATGTTGTTTTTAAAAATGTGTTTAAAATATTGTGCATACAACATTTTATGCCAACAAATTGAGTTTCAAGGGCTGAGTTAATAATGTTTTTTAATTTTGTAAAGAATTTGTGTTTTTAACCTTGTTAGAAATTTGTTATTATTAAAAGGTTGTTATTATGTACATTTTTATTTTATTACCCAGATTTTTAAGTTCCTCAAAGTAAATAAAAAAGTAATGAAAACTTAAAATACTAAATGTATTTTTTGAAAGGTACTGGCAGTGAAAATAAAAAGATATTTTTGGCTTGTTTTAATTTCTATCTAAGAACCATTTCAAAAAGTGATTTATTTAAGAGAGAATTTAAGGAAAGGCTAGCACCACGCCTTTTAGACAAAATATAGAACTAATATTAAAGCACATTTACCCACATTTAAAAATAAAGAAAACATTAACATTTATTATTGATTTCGTTTTCACAAAGATAAATTAGCATATGTTTAACAACGTATTGTTTGCCCTTATCTATATGTCAAATGTTTGTTGCTTACTATTTATAAAAGTTTATTTTCGTTTTTAATTATCAGTAAATTCCTTGACAAATAATGATACTTAGTAATCTAAATCATTTTCATGCGGTTAGTCGTTAGTAATATACGTAGTAAGCTATCATATTACGCCGCAGTAATAAATGTAGTACATCGATAAGCACTGGGGTGATTATATAAGGGAACTATTAAACGCGTTCCACTTTTAGGAATATACCGGTATCGCTTGTTATTAGGAAAGTTTTTTTGTTGTATACCATGGGAATTGTGGTCTGGTCGCATACGGAAAACTTGAAGTCTTTGATGAGGAAAGCCAATCCAATTCGGGCTTGCATTTGGCCAAAGCGCATTCCAATGCAGTTTCTGGGACCTTCTCCAAAAGGAAGCCACTCCACGGAATCACGTTCCTTGACGCGATCGGCTGAGAAATTGTCGGGATCAAAGGTATTTGGGTTGGGATATAACTTCTCATCGCGGTGCATGGCTCCGGCAGGAATCAGGACGGGCATTCCTTTTTTGATGACGTATTTGGGATTATCGGGGACCACAAAGTCCTCCAGGCATTCGCGATTCAAGACGGGAAGAACTGTGTACAGGCGAAGTGTTTCTGAAAGATATCAAATGTAAGTATGGGTTAAGCTTAATTTTTCATTTCTTTCTCACCCGAAATTACTTGGTCTAAATAGACCAGATCCTTCATACATTCGTAAGTTACCTCTCCGTTGCAATTGGCAATCACCTCTTGGCACTCTTTTCTCACACGGTCCTGAATGTCCTGATGTTGGGCCAGTTCGTACAAGGCAAATCCCATGGTAGTCGACGAGGTCTCAAAGCCAGCCCCGAAAAACACAAACGCTTGAGCTGCCATTTCCTCGATCGTTAGATTAACACTCTCCCCACTTTCGGACTTTGTCAGTGGACTGTTTTTCAAATCGATTAACTGATCCATGAAATCATTCCGACGGATATTATTCTGTTCTCTGAAAGCCACAGTCTCCCTGACAATCCGCAGGAAAAATTGTTCTGCTTCCTCAAGGGTCATTTTCATATGGAGCCTGCGGGCCAAGTTCTGGAAGCTATTGATAAAGGCGATTCCAATAGGTCCATGTCGCTGCTCGAAAACAGCTCGACGGCCCATCACCCGGAATTCCGCCTCGGGATCCTTGAGACTACTGCACTCAATGCCAAAGGCACAGGTGCCGATCACGTCAGTGGTGAATCGGGCAAGGATATCCTTGACCTCCACAATTGGGGACTTTTCCATCGTCTGGCCAAACACTTCGATGAACTCGTGGCCCACCTTGACCACGGTGGGAAACATGTACTTCATTTTTCCCGATGTAAATGTAGATGATAGTTTGTTCCTCATGGACTTCCACTTGTGACCATCCAGCAAAAACAGTTGTCCCGACAGAGGATCGTCCTCGGTGTTGTGATAGAATCCACGATCGGTGAACTTATTAAATTCTTTAATCAGTATAAGTTTTGCCAGGGAAGTGTCCAGCACAAGGACTCCAGGTCGTTGGAACCAATAGAAACCCGCAAAGGGACCAGTTCCACGAAACTTGGCATAATAATCCATCCAGACATCGCAGAAGCATCGACTAGTTTGCACTCCCGCCAGACTTCCCATCAGGATGTGGGGCTCCTCGCAGGGAATACCCAGATTTTGCCAGTACTGCAGGGAACGACGCCATTTCAATGCCAGATACCCCACTAGCACTGCGACAGCCGTCAATAGATAAATAAAAACAACCATGACATCAGCTTGGGTGTGGAAAACTAGAATACCGACGAAAATTGCAGCGAATGCAGCCTAGATCAGCTTCAAAAACCTACTGAACACGAAACGCTTCGTTTGTTAGCCGAACACGCTCTTCAAAAAGCTTGAGAACGAACCCAATTATTATTTATTCGATTTACTTATTCTCAATTTTATTAACTTATTCTTTTTTTTATTTAGAACCTAATGTTTTCTCTTTACTACTTCATCAGCCGAGAATTTCCTTTTTAAGAGAACCGTTCTTATCTTTGTTAGAGCCCTCTATTTTGAATAACACTTAATAGAAACGTATCGAACCTACCTCAACTTGTTTTAAATAGGGTAAGGTGTTTTTACTCTTTCAAAAATCTTTGGCCAAGTCCACAAATCTTTGTTTTTAAATGATCTGTCAGGAAAGTATAATATAATATACCTTCTCTTAATTACGTTTGCCTATGTACATATGTGCGACAAAGCGAGACGAAAAATAAGCATAGCAAATTTATAAATACTAAGAGAGAAATTGAAACAGAATCCCACAACAAAAGAAAAAAAACACTATAAACATTGATTCCCCAAAAAAAAAACTGTAGATGGGAGAGCTCTGCGAACAGCTTCCAAAGTAAACGAAAAAGGTAATAATAACGATGACTTGCACTTTACCAATTTTAAGAGCGTATGAAGAGAAAAGTTGTTTTTATCTAAGCAAGTTTTAAAACAAAACAAAACAAGAAAGGAAAGCTAACTTCGGGCGGAGCCGAAGTTGATATACCCTTGCAGAATACTCTGTAAATTATATTCTCCAAAATTATTCATATGATGCATTCTTAATACTCATAAAAAATCCCAACTTCCTAACTTTAAAAACACCAAAGTTATGACATTTCCAATCGTTCAGTTATATGGCAGCTATAGGATATAATCGGCCGATCCTTATGAAATTTGGTAGGTCGGATTGGCTGGCCAAATATAACACCCATAGAAAATGCCGACTTCCTAACTTTACAAACACCAAAGTTATGGCATTTCCGATCAATCAGTTATATGGCAGCTATAGGATATAGTCGGCCGATCCTTATGAAATTCGGCATGTCGGATTGATTAGCCAAATATAAAACCCATAGAAAATCCCAACATTCTAACTTTACAAACACCAAAGTTATGGCATTTCCGATCAATCAGTTATATGGAAGCTATAGGATATAGTCGGCCGATCCTTATGAAATTCGGCATGTCGGATTGATTAGCCAAATACAAAACCCATAGCAAATCCCAACTTCCTAACTTTACAAACACCAAAGTTATGGCATTTCCGATCGTTCAGTTATATGGCAGCTATAGGATATAGTCGGCCGATCCCGGCCGTTCCGACTTATATACTGCGTGCAAAGGAAAGAAGGGTGTGTGCAAAGTTTCAATTCGATATCTTTAAAACTGAGAGACTAGTTCGCGTAGAAACAGACAGACGGACAGACAGACGGACAGACGGACAGACGGACAGACGGACAGACGGACATGGCTATATCAACTCAGGAGGTGATCCTGATCAAGAATATATATACTTTATAGGGTCGGAGATGTCTCCTTCACTGCGTTGCACACTTTTGACCAAAATTATAATACCCTCTGCAAGGGTATAAATATAGATTATTTACAATACAATACAATCACTTAAAATCTTTTTAATTATTTTCTGATTTTCCCATTGCTTATTAACACATAAAATAACAAGAAAGGAAAGCTAACTTCGGGCGGAGCCGAAGTTGATATACCCTTGCAGAATATTCTGCAAAGTATATTCTCCAAAATCGGATCGGTTATTCATATGATGCATTCTTAATACTCATAAAAAAATCCCTACTTCCTAACTTTAAAAACACCAAAGATATGGCATTTCCGATCGTTCAGTTGTATGGCAGCTATATGATATAGTGGCCCGATCCGGCTCGTTCCGACTTATATACTACCTGCAATAGAAAGACAACTTTTGGGAAAGTTTCAAGAAGATAGCTTTAAAACTGAGGGACTAGTTTGCGTAGAAACGGACGGACGGACAGACGGACGGACAGACATGGCTAGATCGACTCTCCTGGTGATGCTGATCAAGAATATATATACTTTATAGGGTCGGAAATGTCTCCTTCACTGCGTTGCAAACTTTTGACTGAAATTATAATACCCTCTGCAAGGGTATAAAAAGAAACTTTTCCGACCTTATAAAGTAAATATTCTTCATCACCATGACTAGACCAGTTGATATAGCCATGTCCGTCTGTTTCTGTCACACTGGGGGTAAAAATAAAGTTATTGAAACTTTCCAAATCGTTTTTTTCTCGTTAAAAGGAGAAAATTTTTGTTTTTGAAAAATCTGCAATGGTTTTAAAAATTAAGCTTGCCGAAGTTAGTTTCCCTTCACGTTTCTAACTAACAACTTTTTAAATAAATTTTTAAAATGTGAAAAAAATTAAAAATTAAATTTAATATTTATAAAACGCAGCCTTCACATACAAAAATGGAAATTGTGAAATTTTCGCGATTAAGTTGAAATCATTTTTCGAAAGGTGTAAGTCATCCTTAGAAGCACATTTTTTAACGGTTAATCGTTAGTAATAAACGTAGTAAGCTATCATATTACGCCGTAGCAATAAATGCAGCACATCGATAACTAACAACTATTTAAATAAATTTTTAAAATATGAAAAAATCTAAATATTTAATATACATATATAAAACGCAGCCTTCACATACAAAAATGGAAATTGTGAAATTTTCGCGATTAAGCTGAAATCATTTTCCGAAAACTGTAAGTCATCCTTAGAAGCACATTTTTTAACGTTTAAAAGATAATAGAACCTGTACTCTGAACTATGCGCAGTATTAAATAAAATTGACAAAAATTACGACAATATGTAACTGTTTTGAATAATGGAGTTTCCACAGCAATGTAAAATTATCTAGATAAATATATATTTAAAGGAAAAAAACGAGTCAAGAGAAAACTTAAGAGATATACATACATACAGACCCCAATCGGACTTTGTTACTCTTTATCGGCCCACGGAAAGGGAGAGGGATAGCCTATAAAAGCGTCGGTTCTCCGTTCATATTATTCAGTTGTTCCGAAATGGCCGTTCTAATCGTATTGCTCATCGGTGTTCTCACCCTCGCCGTGTGGTTTGTGCATCAAAACTTTACTTATTGGAAGCGTCGCGGCATTCCCCACGATGCCCCCAAAATTCCATACGGCAATACTAGCGAGTTAATGAAAACTATGCAATTATCGGATATTTTTAAGCGTACCTATTTCAAGTACAAGAACAAGACCGATGGACCATTTGTTGGATTTTACTTTTTTTTCAAAAAGATGGTGGTTGTCACCGATATTGATTTCGCCAAGACTGTATTAATCCGCGAGTTCGACAAGTTCCACGATCGTGGTATATTCCACAACGAGCGGGATGATCCGCTGACCGCCAACTTGGTAAACATTGAGGGTCAGAAGTGGAAGACTCTGCGCCAGAAACTGACCCCCACATTTACCTCTGGCAAGATGAAGACCATGTTTCCCACTATCCTGGAAGTGGGAGATGATCTGGTTCGAGTACTCGATCAGAAGGCATCCGCAAGTAAGGACTCCCTGGAAATCACCGATGTGTTGGCCCGTTTCACAGCCGATGTGATCGGAACGTGTGCCTTCGGCTTGGATTGTCACAGTTTGTCGGACCCCAAGGCGGAGTTTGTCCAAATGGGAACTGCTGCTATCAACGAACGACGATATGGAAAGTCTTTGGATATGTTTTTGTTTGGGGCACCAAGGCTAGCGGCCAAACTTCGCATGAAACAGAGTGTCCAGAAGGTGGAAGACTTCTACATGAACATCATTAAGGATACTGTAAACTATCGCGTGAAGAACAATGTGAAACGAAACGATTTTATGGACATGCTGATCGAAATGAAGTCGAAATACGATAATGGCGACAAGCAAAATGGTCTAACCTTTAATGAAATAGCTGCCCAGGCCTTTATATTTTTCCTGGCTGGCTTTGAAACGAGCTCCACAACCATGGGTTTTGCACTTTATGAACTGGCTTGCAATCAAGATGTACAAGATAAGCTAAGGAATGAAATTGATAGTGTGCTGAAAAAACATAATGGAAAATTTGACTATGACAGCATGCGGGAGATGACATATATGGAAAAGGTCATCAATGGTGAGTCAGTCATTCAAGTGCGTGGCGTTCATCTACTAAAATATAATTCATTTACTTTGCAGAGACCATGAGGAAACGTCCGGTAGTTGGTCATTTAATACGTATTGCAACTCAACGCTATGAGCACAGTAATCCTAAGTATTACATTGAAGAAGGCACCGGAGTTCTGGTGCCCACCAGGGCCATCCACCATGATCCCGAGTTCTATCCGGAACCCGAAAAGTTCATACCCGAACGCTTTGATGAGGATCAGGTGCAACAGCGACCCGCCTGCACTTTCCTGCCTTTTGGGGATGGTCCCCGGAACTGTATTGGCCTTCGATTCGGACTGATGCAGGTCTTCGTTGGAATGGCCCTGCTCATCCACAACTTCAAGTTTGAGTTGCACCCCACCAAAACTGTCGTTCCTCTGGAATATAAAACCGATAATATTCTGATGAGCTCGAAAGACGGAATCCATTTAAAAGTCAGCAGGGTTGGGAAATAATAAACAAGCAACAACTGAGAGGCTACGACGCAGTTTGATTAATGCTACTTGTAGATTAATACTGTTGTAAAAGTTAATTATTACATGCAATTAGCTATCTATATGTACTTTTTCGCCCAAGGTCAGATTCGGTTTTGTCATGGGAATTGATCGAGTTAGAAAAAGGCAAAATTAACTAATTTTTCATAACATTGTTAAAATATTGAAATTCCATGTGCGGCTTCTTCTTGAGTTTAATAAAAAAAGCAAACGAAAATAAATATATAAAACCAAATGTTACCTTGTAGTAATAGAATGAATAATAAATATAACATTTTGATTCATTAATAACTCGTTTATTGAGTGCCGAACCAAATGTGGGAAACTGCACAACAAGTTAGCTACAACACAAAAACCAAATGATCGAAAACACTATTCAAAATAATTACACATTCAAATATCTCTAAAATGCAGGAAAATTGAGCTCCATATTCCACAGGTTAGCTGAAAACAAAAAACGAGACTTTAGTTAATGATTTATTTGTTCATACGATTCAAACTTAGAACATTTGTATTTGAAGGCCTTTTTTATTGTCACTGAAATATAGAAACTAACCGACCTACCTCAATCAGTTTTGAATAGGTCTGGGTAAATGTAAAATGAATATCTGTTCTCTTTGTTTCTGTATTATTTAAATATAATTCTTCTTTAAGGGAGAAAGCAACAGTATAAAAAGGGGGAAAAACTGTTGAACCCAGGTACTAACAATTTGTAGTTCAATTCAACTACACATTTCTTTATCTAGGTACAGAAAATAACTTATCCTATAATTGCTGTATTATGTATTGGAATACCATAATTTTATTTACCGTTTTCTTCTTATAAGATCTTATCAATACTATTTCCTCATCTAGGTACAGATTTCCATTAACCCCAAAAATATGCTTTAGGTTCTAAGGTTCAATTATATTTAAAAAAGTACATTTTTTAATAAAAATAAACTAAGGCGAATTGTTTAATAATATGATAGCATCCAATTCAAGGAAAAGTTAAGAGCGCATTTCTCAATCTGTTTGTAAACGAGTTGTAACGCTGAGTCGGCATTTCTCTATACTACTCTTCTTCACAGTAAAGAGAGTCAGGTGACAACAGAGAGTCAAGTGACTACAGAGAGTCAGGTGACTACAGAGAGTGAAGTGACTACGGAGAGTATATGTTAAAAGAGGTTAAGAAAAATGTAGTTTAAAAGAGAAGTCCCGCTAGTAGTACCCATAGTTCTAGCTCTAAATTACTGTTTCGTATTCGTATTCCCCCAGGGCAGGAAACTAATAAAGATAATGTTCATATAGTATTCTTATCTCTTATCTAATGTCTAGTACGAATAATGTGTAGTAGGAATTCCCCTAAGCTTTTACGCACCCTCAGTCATATAAGAAGTCAATGTGGTAATCAGTGCGAATTTATTTATAGAAAACTTTAATTTAGACGTTCAGCTTTCAAGAATATGCCAGATTCGCTAGACAATCCAAAGCTCTGTTTATCATAGACCATAGGAATTGAAGTTCTATTGCAGACGGAGAACTTGAACTTGCTAATGAGCAAAGCCAATCCAATACGGACTTGCATTTGGCCAAACCGCATCCCAATGCAATTTCGAGGACCATCGCCGAAAGGGAGCCACTCCACGGAATCTCGCTCCTTGACGCGATCGGCGGAGAAGTTGTCCGGGTTAAAAGTGTCTGGGTTGGGATATAACTTCTCATCGCGGTGCATGGCTCCGGCCGGAATCAGGACTGGCATTCCCTTCTTTATTACATACTTGGGATTATAGGGCACTACAAAGTCCTCCAGACATTCGCGGTTCAAAACGGGAACGACTGTGTACAGGCGAAGTGTTTCTGCAAAATACCAAAGGTTATTATGGGAATAAAGCACAACTCTTCTTTAACTCACCCGATATTATCTGGTCTAAATAAACTAGTTCCTTCATACCTTCGTACGATAACTCCCCATTGTACTTGGCAATAACCTCTTGGCACTCTTTCCTCACCCGGTCTTGAATGTCCTGATGTTGGGCGAGTTCGTATAAAGCAAATCCCATGGTAGTCGATGAGGTTTCAAAGCCGCCGGAAAAGAATATAAAAGCCTGAGCTGCGACTTCCTCGATGGTTAGATTGACACTTTCTCCTGTTTCCGATTTTAGCGACTTATTGTTTTTCAACTCGATTAACTGATCCATAAAGTCATTGCGTCGGATATTATTCTGCTCCCTGAAAGCCACGGTCTCTTTCACTATACGCATAAAGAACGTTTCTATTGGCTCAGTTGACATTTTGAAGTGCAGGCGTCGTGCAAGATTGGGAAAACTATTCATAAACATGAAGACAAGAGGTCCATGTCGTACCTCTTTAAATGATCGACGGCCCATCACCCGGAACTCCGCTTCGGGATCTTTAAGACTGCTACACTCAATGCCAAACGCACAGGTTCCGATAACGTCTGTTGTAAATCTGGCCATGAGTTCCTTAACCTCTACAATGTTCGACTTGTCCAGCATCTGGTCAAATACATCTGCGAACTCATGGCCCACTTTCTCCACGGTGGGAAACATGTACTTCATTTTTCCGGATGTGAATGTAGGAGAGAGCTTGGTTCTCAAGGATTTCCACTTGAGGCCATCCAATAAGAACAGGTTACCCGTTAAAGGATCGTCCTCTGCATTGTGATAGAACCCGCGATCTGTGAACTTGTTGAACTCCTTAATAAGTATGAGCTTTGCCAGGGCAGGTTCCAATACTAAAACAGCCGGTCGTTGGAACCAATAGAAGCCCGCGAAAGGTCCAGATCCTCTGAACTTCTTGTAATGGGTCATCCAGATGTCATTGAATGATAGTTTAGTGCCCACTCCGGCAATGTTTCCCATAAGGAAATGCGGCTTCTCGCAAGGGATTCCCAGATTTTGCCAGTACTGCAATTTACGTCGAAACAAGAGGAGGAGATATCCAACTAATATCACCGCTGCCGTTAAAAGCAATGTTTCCGCAGCCATCGTTTAAGGAAATTGTTTTAAATTCTTCAGTTGCAGGATCTTGTGTGCAATTCCGTTGATTACTTTTTATTAACTGACAAGAAAAGCAGTTTGCCGGCAAGCTTTTAAAGCCAAATAGTAAAACATCAAGTCACTGTGACCAAGGGAATGCAAACTACGATAGCTCTAACCCTTCTCTATTATATGCCACTCAGAACTGATAACCCATTGTTTTGTATACAAATGTAAGGCAATGAAGGGAGACCTTCGGGAAATATATTAAGTTGTAGTTACCAAGGAGATTTAATCTCCAATTACCTAATGGTATATTCTTTTAATATCCATTTCGGGACTGTTATTGAAATGTGATGTTATCGCAAACCATATTTCATCATCTTTAGATTCTTGCATCAGCCTTTCTTTGCTAACCCACGCTTATTTTAATCTTTTTCTTATCTTTTGTCAAGTACATTTGTTGGTATCCACTTGAAAATTAAAAAACAATCAATCAGTCACCATCCAAACTATAATTTTTAAGATTTTGCAATACAAAAGATATCTTGGAAATAAATAATTAAAGTTTCATAGTCTACTTTCAGGCATTTTTTTCAAAAATAGGATCTGCGAAGGTTGTCTCTTCTTAGGTCTTAAAAAAATTAGTTAATTTAAGTTGACCTTAATACAGGGCTTCAAAAATGTTAGCACCTATTAATGAAAAAATTCAGACTCGTGTGAATGAATGCAAAATCAACAAGAAAGGAAAGCTAACTTCGGGCGGAGCCGAAGTTGATATACCCTTGCAGAATATTCTATAAATTATATTCTCCAAAATTATTCATATGATGCATTCTTAATACTCATAAAAAGTCCCAACTTCCTAACTTTAAAAACACCAAAGTTATGTCATTTCCAATCGTTCAGTTATATGGCAGATATAAGATATAGTCGGCCGATCCTTATAAAATTTGGTAGGTCGGATTGATTGGCCAAAAATAAAACCCATAGAAAATCCCAACTTCCTAACTTTACAAACACCAAAGCTATGGCATTTCCGATCAATCAGTTATATGGCGGCTATAGGATATAGTCGTCCGATCCTTATGAAATTTGGCAGGTCGGATTGATTATCCAAAAATAAAACCCATAGCAAATCCCAACTTCCTAACTTTAAAAACACCAAAGTTATGGCTTTTCCGATCGTTCAGTTATATGGCAGCTATATGATATAGTGGCCCGATCCGGCTCGTTCCGACTTATATACTACCTGCAATAGAAAGACAACTTTTGGGAAAGTTTCAAGCAGATAGCTTTAAAACTGAGGGACTAGTTTGCGTAGAAACGGACGGACAGACGGACAGACGGACAGACGGACGGACAGACGGACGGACAGACGGACAGACGGACATGGCTAGATCGACTCTCCTGGTGATGCTGATCAAGAATATATATACTTTATAGGGTCGCAAATGTCTCCTTCACTGCGTTGCAAACTTTTGACTGAAATTATAATACCCTCTGCAAGGGTATAAAAATCAATGTGTTTATTTTATAAATAAATAAATTATATTGTATATATTTATTTTATTTAAGTTAATCCTTTTTATACCCTTGCAGAGGGTATTATAATTTTGGTCAAAAGTGTGCAACGCAGTGAAGGAGACATCTCCGACCCTATAAAGTATATATATTCTTGATCAGGATCACCTCCTGAGTTGATATAGCCATGTCCGTCTGTCCGTCTGTCCGTCTGTCCGTCTGTCTGTTTCTACGCAAACTAGTCTCTCAGTTTTAAAGCTATCGAGTTGAAACTTTGCACACACCCTTCTTTCCTTTGCACGCAGTATATAAGTCGGAACGGCCGGGATCGGCCGACTATATCCTATAGCTGCCATATAACTGATTGATCGGAAATGCCATAACTCTGCTGTTTGTTAAGTTAGGAAGTTGGGACTTTCTGTGGGTTCTATATTTGGCCAATCAATCCGACGTACCAAATTTCATAAGGATCGGCCGACTATATCTTATAGCTGCCATATAACTGATTGATCGGAAATGCCATAACTTTGGTGTTTGTAAAGTTAGAAAGTTGGAATTTTCTATGGGTTTTATATTTGGCCAATCAATCCGACCTACCAAATTTCATAAGGATCGGCCGACTATATCTTATAGCTGCCATATAACTGATTGATCGGAAATGCCATAACTTTGGTGTTTGTAAAGTTAGGAAGTTGGGATTTTCTATGGGTTTTATTCGACATATTAAATTTCATAAGGATCGGCCGACTATATCCTATAGCTGCCATATAACTGATTGATCGGAAATGAAATAACTTTGGTGTTTTTAAAGTTAGGAAGGTGGGATTTTTTATGAGTATTAAAAATGCATCATATGAATAATTTTGGAGAATATAATTTGCAGAATATTCTGCAAGGGTATTTCAACTTCGGCTCCGCCCGAAGTTAGCTTTCCTTTCTTGTTTAATTACATTTAAATATTAACTTTGATGATGCTTAATCAATTATTAATTTTTGCTCCAGTTTTTTGTGCCACCCAGCTATAAAACCATTAAATTCGCCTACTGAGCATGAGTGGTCAAATGACAAAATAAAAACTCAAAAAGTAGTTCATGTTCCTATCCATTTATATGATAACTTTGTATTTATAATAATTACACTCGTTCCACCTTAAGGTAAATGCCTGATTCACTTGCAATGAGGAAACTGTCCTTGTTGTATTTCATGGGAATCTTTGTCTGCTCGCAGATGGAGAACTTAAAGCTCTTGAGGAGGAGAGCCAATCCAATCCTTGTCTGCATTTGGCCAAAGCGCATTCCGATGCAGTTTCTGGGCCCATCGCCGAATGGGAGCCACTCCACGGAATCGCGTTCCTTGACGCGATCTTCGGAGAAGTTGTCCGGGTTGAATTGGTTGGGATTGGGATATAGTTTCTCATCCCGGTGCATGGCTCCAGCTGGAATCAGGATAGGCATTCCCTTCTTTATAACATACTTGGGGTTTTCGGGCACCACAAAGTCCTCCAGGCATTCGCGATTTAAAATAGGAAGCACAGTGTACATGCGAAGTGTTTCTGTGAGGCGATAGAACAAGTAGTTAATAAAGTGGAAACTGCACCATTTCTCCTATACTTACCAGAAATCACTTGATTGAGGTAAGCCAGTTCCTTTATGTTTTCATAGGTAAAATCTCCGTTATACTTCTCAATAACCTCCAGGACCTCTTCCCGCACTCGACTCTGGATGTCCTGATTCTGGGCCAGCTCATACAAAGCAAAACCCATCGTGGTCGACGATGTTTCAAAACCGGCCGCAAAGAATACGAAAGCCTGCGCCGCAATCTCCTCGATAGTCAGATTGACATTCTCCCCGGTTTCAGATGTCATTAGTGGCTTGTTTTTCAAATCGATTAACTGATCCATGAAATCGTTTCGACGAATGTTGTTCTGCTCTCTGAATGCCACTGTCTCCCGGACGATGCGCATGAAGAACTTTTCAACGGGCTCCACTGTCATCTTCATGTGGAGGCGACGTGCCAGATTGGGGAAGCTATTGACGAATCCGATGCCAATGGAACTCAGCCGATGCTCGTTTACGGACCGTCGTCCCATCACTCGGAATTCCGCTTCCGGATCCTTAAGACTGCTGCATTCGATGCCGAAGGCACAGGTGCCGATGACATCGGTGGTGAACCGGGCCAAAAGCTCCCTCACTTCAATAATGGGAGTCTTTTCCACATCTTGGGCAAAAACATCGGTGAACTCGTGACCCACCTTGAGCACAGTGGGGAACATGTACTTCATTTTTCCCGAAGTGAACGTGGGCGACAGCTTGTTCCTCATGGACTTCCATTTATGGCCATCCAGTAAGAACAACTGGCCAGACAATGGATCGTCCTCCGTGTTGTGAAAGAAGCCGCGGTCCGTGAACTTGTTGAAATCCTTGATCAGAATGTGCTTGGCCAGAGATGTTTCCAGGACGAAAGCAGCTGGTCGCCGGAACCAATAGAAGCCAGCAAAGGGTCCGCTTCCGCGAAACTTTTTGTAGTAATTCGACCAGATTTCGTTGAACGACCACTTGGTTCGCACACCACTCATGTTTCCCATAAACATGTGAGGCTCATCACAGGGAATTCCCAGCTCCTGCCAATACCTCATGGTGCTGCGCCATTTCGCCAGAAGATAGCCAAGTATCGCCAGTAGAGCCGTCAGTAGAACAGTTCCCACGGCCATATCTTTCCGAATATTTGTTTACTGACTGTTATTGAGAATGCCAAAGCTGTATAAACTTGCGCCGATCGATTGTTAACTTGTTCAACATTTGCCATTAACTGAGATTCGCAAAGCTTTGTCAGCGCTTTTTAATAGTCCGGTGCAAAACTATGCAGTCATTGTGACCAACAAACATAAAGCTGGTTGTCGTAATCTTTTCACTTATCGTTGCCGATTGTAGGAACTTTGCACTTGTGTTGTTCGCCGCGTCTCGATCACAAAGTACCTGTTAATCACATCTTGAATGTACAAATGTTTTAATTTATAACATTTTTATTGAGTTTGTACAATCTAGTTATACCTTACGATTACCTATTAAAAAGGGAGAACCTACTAAACCTATAAACAAAAGATTGGACTTAAGCCTACCTCAACGGATTTCTATGCGAGGTAGTCTACACAAAAAGAGAATTAATATATTCCATAAGCTTTGGTATCGATTTAATGGATCTTAATCTTCTATTTAGATCGCCTCCAGTTTGAGATAGATTCCGTCTTTGACACCGAGTACAAATGATTTGGGATCGTAGACCAGAGGAATTTGAGTTTTGGAGCAGGTTGAGAACTTGAAATTCTTGATGAGTAGGGCTAGTCCAATGCGAGCCTGCATCTGTCCGAATCTCATTCCAATGCAGTTCCGAGGACCATCTCCAAAGGGCAGCCAGGCGACCGAAGGACGATTTGCCGACTCTTCCGGAGAGAATCGCTCAGGTCGGAACTCGAGGGGTTCGGGATAGATGGTGGGATCGTGGTGGATGGCAGAAGAGGGTACAATGACCGACTGACCAGCCTCAATGACGAACTCCGGATGTCCGGGAACAACGTAACGCTTGTTGGCCACCCGATCCAGATTGGGTACAATGGTGTAGAGACGTGAAGTTTCTGCGAGGAGGTTAAAGGGTCAATAGGTTTCCTTTATTTCTGTGAATTAAACTTACCATTTATAGCTTGGTTGAGATACTTGAAACTCTTACTGCACTCATAGGTAAACTTTTGGTTATGTTCCTGCAGAACCTCTTCCACTTCAGCTCTAACCTTCTCTTGGATATCCGGGTTCTTGGCCAGTTCGTAGAGAGCATATCCCATGGTGGAGGAGGATGTCTCGAAGCCAGCTATGAAAAATATAAACGCTTGAGCAAGGATCTCCTCTATGGTCAGTCCCTTGACCACTTCCCCGTTATCCAGAGTGATTTCTTTTTGATTTTTCATTTCGATGAGCATGTCCATGAAATCGTTCCGTTTGATATTCTCCCTTTCTCGCGCTGCCACAGTCTCGGTGACTATTCTATGATAGAAGTCCTGAATATGCTGGGCAGTTCGGACGAAACCTATTTTTCTGGCCAAGTTGGGATAGCTGCGCATGAGTCCATTCAACAGAGTACTATGTCGCTTTTCCACCAACGATTTCTTGCCAAAGTAAAGGAACTCGGCCTTTTCATCGCGTAGACTGTTACACTTGATGCCAAAGGCGCAGGTGCCAATGACATCCACCGTGAACCTGGCTACCAGATCACGGATATCCAGGACAGAGTTTTGCTCCACCTTTTCATGCATCACTGCCATAAATTCGTCCACAACGGAAACCACTGTTGGATACATGTACTTCATTTTTCCCGATGTGAAAGTCGAGGATAACTTGTTCCTGAGCAGACGCCACTGCGGACCATCCAGATTGAAGAGATGAGCGGAAATGGGATCATCTTTTTCGTTGTAATACAAGCCCTTGTCGGAAAAGTTTGAAAAATCCTTGATGAGTACATTCTTGGCCAGATCCAGATCAATGACAAAGACAGCCGGTCTCTGGAAAAGGAAAAATCCCACAAAGGGAGCTTTGCTGTCCCGATATTTGTTGTAGTGATCTTGGTAAATCTGGTGAAAATTTTTCGTTTTCATCAATCCCTCAAAGTTTCCCCTGATCGGGTGGGGTTTCTCAAAAGGAATCCCTCGACGCTTAAAGTATGTTAATTTACGGTGAAGATAGTAAGTAAAAATCGCCAGCAAGGCGATCGCCACTTGGAAGAGAATGTATGTGAACGCCATACTACTATTGAAGCTGCCGTTCGGAGATGACTGACTCGGAAAACGATCGACGAACTGCTTTTAAATGCTGAAATTTACCTACTTGGCATGACGAAGCTATCTTTCTCAGATGCATGAAAAGTAAGAGTTAATCTGATGTTTTGTTTACTTTAACGGTGAGACAGCAAGAACATAACAGTAAGAACAGTCTATAAAGATTGTGGCACAGGCCAAATTTCAATGGAAACATTTTTGTCAAATATTTGCCTATGAGATTTAGACTTCTTTTAAACTCATTATCATTTTGGTACTGTCTGCCTAATTGGCTATCTTTTCCGCACACACTGCTGTCTGTGACGATTAGCCAATTGTTACTGTATAATGACGTTCAATGGCTAATCAGAACCTGTATAGATCTAGACATTCCCCATATACATATGTAGGTTATCTACCTGAAAACCGTCTGCTGGCTCACCGTTGCTCGACTATCATCGTAACATAATATTTGTATATTATTTTTAAATTGTCTCGTCAGACCATTAATTGACTTCATCATTGTTTATATTTTTCATCACAGCCTCTTAGCTTATTTCTTATTCATAGAATACCTAACCTACCACAAAAGAATGACTATGACTTTTATGAAGGAAAAACGTTGAACTATTTTAACTCTGTTTGTTTGTAGTACAAACTTTGTACGGCTTTTGAGATGTTTAGTACTTAAAGTTAATTTTAAATAATTTAAAGAAATTCTGTGAAGATATACAAAACAGGGTAGTTAATATGGGTTAATCACTGACTATTATGAAACTTAAATGGCTTATCATGTATTTAATTCATAACTGAACAAATCATTACCTCAAGATTATATAGTTTTGAACTGGAACTCGTTTATATAGATTTCAGACCCGTCAGCCGGTTTCCACTGTATAACGACGAGCCCTCGGTTATCAATCCCCCAGAAGTGGCGGACGATGACGATCCCCCCTGAATAGCGTCATATACTCGTAACCAGAACGCTACTTAATCAGTAAAAGTCCATGTTAGACCGGCAGTGGAACATGATATGGTTATTAGCTGCTCTGATATTTGACGGATCTGGCAACGACACTGTTTACCTTTTCAGTCATATTTGGTTGACAGTTGATTAGATTTCAAGTGCGGATGTAGGCAACAACAACGAGCAATTAAACCCGGCAGCTTTTCAATTTTTTATTTATTTTGGCTTTACTTCAGCTTTGTGGGTGAGCTTTTCTTTTGTCTGTTTTTTTTTCACGGCATTTAAATGTTAATTGGGCGTGAAATCTTTCCGATAGGGTAGAAAAAAAAACTCTTGAAAAGAGCGAAAGTGTAGTATTTTTAATATTAGTAACAAATATATATTTTTTATAGGGCAGTAAATGAATTTGGAGCTAATGTGTTCATTAAAAATTCCCCAAAAAATATTGCTCCCACAAAAAGGTCTATTAAAATTCTACCCAAATTGATAACAAACGAAAATGAAATTCAAAGCGCAGAAATGCAGATAACAGGATCATTTTCGGCCAAGGTGAATACATAGACCTCCTACAATAAAGTTAGTAAGTATTTTAGTACAGTATAAGTCTTAAAAGTTATAAAAGTAAATAACCATAAATATGATATCACCTAATCTGGTTGTATAACAAAAATTGTCTTGCTAAATATAAAAGCGTTACAAGTTTATGGCATTCTTATCAGATCTTTTGTTTATTTAGATTTCGCAAGACGTATAAACGAGTCTTCTGTGAGTGTCTGATGGTGCCACCAACATTGGAAATAAAGTAATAATAATCATATGTCCGTCTGGCCTCAGTGAGACGCCCACAAACAAGCAGACAGACAGACAAGCTTCAGTGTAGCGCACTCGAAAAAGCGGCAAAGAAACAAATTAAAAGCTCGCACCTGTGGAGTGGGGAGCGAGTATCGTAAATAGTTACTTTTCTCCGTTGTACTCTCAGTCGAATCGCGCGCTTCGGTAATGAACGTAACCCACCGAGAACCCAGTCGAGAACGCTCCGGAGCGATGATGCATTAGATCATATAGTTCGTGACACAACCTGGCGGTTGAGAGCGGGATCGCAATATATAGTATATAGCTAGGCAGTGAGAGTGAAAAGGTGGCAAGATAGCGGGCGGTCAGGAAGTGGAGCTCCACCCCCACCCCCTACAGTGATTTCGATACATGTGATTCAGAACAAACAGAACAGAGTTCAAAATGCAAAACATGTGGATCATTTTCCTGATCATCGGGCTATTAGTGCTCGGGCTGCTGGTTCTGCTAATTATAGCGGCCCGGTATCAACGCGATTATTGGCGCTATCTGAACATTCCGCACGAGAGACCGAAAAAGCTATGGCCTATCTTTAGGCAAATAATGACGCAGACATTAAGTACGGAGGCAATGAAAGCGAATCATTACACGGCCATATACCAAAAGTTCAAGGGCAGCGGTCCGTTTTGCGGATTCTACGCTCTGCTGCAGCCGCGGGCCTTAATCCTCGATCGGGAGCTGATCAGACAGATAATGATCAAGGACTTTTGGAACTTTAACGATCGTGGTCTATACTGCAATCAGAAGTCGGATCCGCTTTCGGGAGATCTCTACGCGTTGCGAGGAGAGAGCTGGAAGGAGATGCGCCAGAAATTGGATCCCAGTTTGGAAGGGGATCGCATGTCCTGGCTATATGGCTGTCTCTATGGGGAGGCGGCAGAGCTCCTCCTTAATGTTAATTCCACCCTAATGAGTCAACCGCATTCCACGGTACACATCCAGAAGATCATGAGGCGTTATGTCCTCTCTGCCCTGGCCAAGTGTGTTTTTGGCTTGGATGCCCAGCAGAGGTTAACATATCCATTGGAGGACTTTGAGCAGATGACGGAAATGGCCTTGAATAGCCATAAACATGGCTACCTAATGAACCTGATGATGATACGGTTTCCGAACTTTTGTCGAATGCTACGAATGCGACGCACTCCCAAACCGGCGGAGGACTATTTCATAAATCTCCTCACAAAAATAGTGGAACAGCGGGAGACCTCGGGAGTACGTCAGCAGGACTACCTTCAGCTCCTGATCGAGGTCAAAGCTCTAGAGTTGATTACCCATCAGTATGAATCCGATAAGGAGTTGTCTTTTCACCTGCAAAATGAATTGACCGCCCATGCAGTTGTCTTTTTAAAGGCAGGCTATGAACAAACGGCCAACACTCTCTCATATGCACTTTACGAACTTGCCCTACATCCGGAATTGCAAACACGAGTTAGAGAGGAGGTCAAGAAGGCCATTGAGCGGCATGAGGGGAACATCAGCTACGAGTGCATTCAGTCGCTGACTTTTATGGGCCAGGTGATCAACGAAACACTGCGAATGCATCCCATAACACCCTACATCCTGCGACGCACCCTAAATGATTACGCAGTTCCGGATCATCCCAAGTACATACTGGTGAAGGAGCTATTTCTGATTATACCCACACATGCGATCCACCACGATCCGGATATCTATCCCGATCCAGAGGAATTCAAGCCAGATCGATGGAGTGGACCGAGGGATTCGCTGCAGGAGCAGGGCACCTGGTTCGGATTCGGAGTGGGTGCTCGCAGCTGCATTGGAATACAATTCGCACAGCTGCAACTGCGACTGGCTTTGGCCCTACTCCTTTCCGAATACGAATTCACGTTGAATTCCAGGAAGCCATTGGTCGATCTGGAGGATGGTATTGCGCTTACCCTGATGCCATTGGGAGTTATAGAGCCCGGAAATGAGGAGAGGGCAGTATAAGCTGGAGGGTTGGGACCACAAGATCAGAACTGACATTAGCTAAATCTCAGGGAAAGTAAAATCAAGTTACTAGTTTCTTTCAAAGTGTTTTCATTGCCATTTTAACGTAATACTATTTGGTATAGCTGACGAAGCCCATAACAATGCATTAAAAAAAATATTAAATTTTAAAATAAAATATAAAAAAGTTTGATTAAACATACGAGTTCAGAAATAATATAGCTGTTTCCTCAAAATAATTGTATAAAAGTGATTTAATTCAATTAAAAAGTGAGCGGATACTGTGCTTAATATGGAAAAGTTGTTAAAGCAACTCATTTGTGTAGGAAAAATGTGTAGACGAACAAAAAGATTAAGCTTTTGTCAGTATCTAAATTTCTAGCCTTAACTTAATGACGAAGAATTTACTCCATGAACAAAGTCTAGAAAGCAATATAAAACTCAGCATGGCAACTAACCAAATAAAATATAAAACTTAGGTCAGAAAACCTCATAGTCAGAGTCAACTTAAAGTAATTAATAAAATAGTTAATAGTTTTATGCACGTTTTTTATTTAAGAATTTATTTATTTCGAAAAAACATTTCTTTTAAAATAGTTTGTTTAATTTCTATTAAATACACATTGTCCTCCTAAGGATGAACTTTTTGATTTGTTAAAATAATTGTCAATTTGATTCATTGTTTTGTTATTTGTGGTTAGTATAAATCGTGTTTTGCATTGTCGATTGCTGATATGATTGGTTGGGTTGTCGGCTACTTTCGGATCAGTAGCTCAGGCCTGTGCAGTACTTGATTGCAAGAGTGTCAGATATATTATTAAGAGTCTGTTGCTTTCGTTGATTAATCAAAATCGAAATTAGAGTTACATTACACATTAGTACTAAAATTAGATTTACAAATAAATAAAACGTTTACGACAAACGAACTCTAAGTATACAATATACATATGAAAGGTTATGCTGCGTTTGTGCTATGGAATGTGTTTTGGGCAGCTCTACGAAATGCTAATTAAGAACTTAGACACTAGCTGTTTGTTCGTCGGATTGGCCGCTAATACGAAATGGCTCTACTGCGATGGCTGGCGCTTGTGGCGCTGGGGCGAAATCAGGGAGCTCCTCGTGGGTTCTCCGCGGTTCGGCAGCTTGCTCCTCAGCATCTGCTCGTGGACGTAGATCAGCAGACCCACGTCCCGGTGCCCAGCCTGCCAGGCGATCTTGAAAGCCGTGCTGCCGTCCTGTGGATAAAGAAATCATTAGAATTGAGTTATATACTGAATATATGCTAGATAGTTAAAAAATTCATAATTCTTCACTCGTAAGATCCTGCTTAACTTTAAACGAATTAGTAATAAATTGAAAATAATGAAATCATTTATTATCAACCTCTCTCCTAAAAAATACCTACTGCCTTATAATTCCCAACTTGTTTAAATAGGTAAAGTTATAATGTAGTTCTTGATCTTCGAAGATTCGACTTTTAAAGTTTTCTTTAGTTTAAAACATAAAGGTTTTAAGTAATTTTGTTACATTTTTAAATTCATAACTTGGAATGCTTTTTATGGGAAGTCTGACAATGTTATTTAAATTCTATCAAATTTTATTACACTATTAACTAAATAAAAAAAATAAAATCTTTGAGTTATATACACACAAACATTATTTACAAAGGGAAATGCTTTACCTAAACATTTTTCTTATATCAAAGATCTTGAATTTCACAACTGATAGTCATTTTATGTTTTTTAAAGCCTTCAAATCTTAACCTTAAATATACTTCTCTACTCACCACATCGTTAACTAGCGAATCGCAGTCGGGATGCGATAGCAGGGTCTTGATCACGTCGATGCGTCCGTGCTCGGCGGCTCCCATGAGGGCCGTGCTGCCGTCCTCGTCCTGGATATTGATGTCCGCCCCGGCATCCAGTAGCATATTGACCATGTCCCCGTTACCATGCGACACAGCGAGCATCAAAGCGGTCTGGCAGTGCTGCAATTGCAATGGGATAATAGGGCGTTAGCGGTTAGTAGGGGAGTTACGAGGGGTCAGCTTTTTCTAAGCACCAAGAGCAGTGGGCGGTGGGGCCCCTTACCTACCTTCTTGGCCCGTATGTTGACATCGGCCATCTTGAACAGTCGCTCGACGACTGTGCGATGGGACGGCTGCTTCAGCTTGGCCAACGATACGAGCATCACCGATGTGTATCCGGCGTTATTCATCTGGTTTACATCGCAAACCTTAGAATCCAGCAAAATGGATACCACATCGAAGTTGCCGTGCGAGACTGCATAGTGCATGGCTGTGTTGCCCTAAAAAAAAGTATATTATAAAGTATATAGTATATATAAAAATAAATTAATTATAATAACTTACATTACTGTCGGACAGGTTGACACAATACTCCAACAATGGCACCGACAGCGATTCAAAGTAATCGAGATAGTCCTCCACCTGGTGGGGATCGGACTTGCCGGTACTGGAGTTGAAGAACCAGTGATCCTGGATGGTAACCTTGGCCGACTTAAGGCTCTGCGAGGATATGGGTTTGGCGCCCAACTTCTTCAGCAGCGAATCGTTGATGGCCTTGAGGGCATCTTTAAGATCCTTAGACAGCTCGGTTCTGAGGGGGAAAAATACATTATAAATATATTAAATTAAGTTAATAAGTTTTTATAATGTTGTAAACCCAACGGATATGAGTATTCCATGTCTAATTGAGTCCCAATTGCTTGTCATTATGGTTCCATTACTCACTTCTTTCGGGGCTCCGAATCCGCCTGGGCCAACTGATGGAGCTGGGCTTTGGTGGCCGGCTTTTCGATGACGGTCACCTGGGAGCCATCGCTCTGACTAGATTTTAGTGGTGTGCTGGACTTCTTGCGTGCTCCCTGGGCAATCTGCACATCGATGGGCGGACTGGAATCACTGGAAGAGCTCATCGCCGGCTCCTGTTCCGGCGACTCGGACTTGGTGGTGCCCGAGGAGGTCATCAGAGGGGCAGGAGAGGCATCCCGCGACCAGCTGATGCTCACCCGCTTCTCCTCGCGCACTATCAGCTCATCATCGCCCAGCAGACTGAGGTCCAACAAGTCCTTCTGCGGCTGCCGGATGAAACTCTGGGATTCTCCCAATGGGTCTGCTGCTTGGAAACTGGACACAGTGGGAGGCTTCTCCTGCAGGGAGCTGAAAAACAAATAACCTTGATGAGTTTGGGAGCTCTGAAGTCCTTGTAGAGTTTGGAAACCCACGTTAGCAGCAGAGCCGAGCATCCGCTGACCAGCAGCGGATAGCACGTGAAACTGCTCAGGCTGGAAAACATTGGAAGAACCATGCGGAAAACCAAAATCCAAACAAAAAACAAAAATAAGCGACTCAGTAACTGGGCCAAAGCGAACACCAAAACTCAACTGAAGGTCAACGCATTTTGATTTCAGGCTGTGGATTTTCAAAACACAATGCGCAAGAGCTGCTATGTGGTGTGTGTCTTGGCTGAAAGCTCTGTGGGAAACTTGGCTAGCACAGTGGAATTAGCTTGTGTAAACGTGGTTAAATAAAAAAAAAAAACGAACAGACTTATAAAATTCCCTAAATTTGGGGACTCTTGAAATTAAATTTAATATATATTTTAGGTTATCAATTTATAGGTTCTTTTATGTCTTTCATTACTTATTGGTTTGTTTTTAAATAAAGAGGCCTGTATAATGCAATTAATTCTTGAAACTATAGAAATCGTTGAAATGAACTAAGATTTTAATAAAGGGATTAATAGTTTAACTTGAAATAAACTTGAATACAAATAAGTTGTGATGACAAAATTAAACTCTTATTGTTTTTACAACTTAAAGAGGTAGATTGTGGTTTTTCTTTTTGGTAAACACTCACCTCAATCGTGTTTTCCGTTCCACCTGAGGACTGGGTGTTGGAGAAGGCGTGGCCAGCGTGTAGGTGTTTTGCCGCTTGAACTCCTTGCGCACCGGACTCGGACTCGTGAGGTGCTTGGGTCGCGGTATCCGTGAATCCGCCGAAGTGGAGCGACGCCCTGCTCCACCCATTCTGGGAGTCGTGGGACTGGATTTCGAGAAGCCCCTTGCCAGATCCTGAATGGCCTCCTTGCAAGAATCACAGTAGTTGGCCGCACAGGCGATGGAGATATGAGGTTTGACAATATCGCCACAGCCCACGTCCCTTTTGCGAATCTCCTCCGTGTTGCATGCGGAGTGGCTGGTCAGGACCTTAACGGGTTCCGGTTCCTTTTCCTTATCCGTATTGCTGGCTATGTGGCGGGTTTGGGGGCGTGTCACTGGCTCGGCCACCTGCTCCGCCTTCAAGGGACTCCGGCTGAGTCGCTGCAATCCATTGGTGTCCGTCTGGCGATTAACCTGCTCCGTTCCGCACTGCACCGCGGAGTGATGCTGCTGGGGATTCACCTGGGCTCCGGTTGAACGAACTACTGCCGTGGTGGTTTGACTTCCTGCACTGTGCACCAGGGTAACTGGCGTCTGGCAACCGATGGCCTTTCGCACCACGGATACGGTCTCATTCTCGCCCAAACTGAATGTGTTGCTCCGTCCGGGCATTTGGGGAGCTGGTTTTACCTTCTCCGGCGGAGTTTCCGGACCACTGGCTACGCTCCTCTTGCTCACGGCACACTTTTCGCAGAGGACATCATCCAGTCGATCCTCGGAGCTGCCCACATGTCGCACATCCGGTTTGCAGCTGGTGAAGTTTTCCCTCGTAGTTGGTTTTGCGGTGACCCCCACATTGTATTTGAGCTTGGGTCGTTCCGGCAGAGTTTGCACTCCACTATCCCGCTGTTCCCGTTGTGGCACATACATCTGGGTGCCCACCGAGATGAGCTTCCTCAGCTTTTGCTTTTGTGCATTGCTCAGGGCTTGCTCCACCTTGACCTCCACTTCCTCCTTGGAGTAAACAGTTTCCGATGGTTGAACACCCACATTTCGAGTGGTTGGTTGGTGGCCAACGGACACATCTCGAGTGGCAGGTGGTCGCACCACCGCCTGCGTGGACACATCCCGACGGACGACACTTGGAGATGGCGATGCCGATGTAGAGCTGCTGCGCATCCGAGCTCCCAGGCTCTCCAGCGACACTGGACTGATCCTTTGTGGCGTAAACTGTACGGGTGAGGCGGTCTTGAGACCCGGACTCGGTGGCGATGGCGTCTGCCGTTGACTCCGCATTAGCTCTTCATTCCTGCGCTGCAACTTTTGTTTTTCTGATCGCAAGGAATTGAGTTCAAGCTGAAATTGGGATTTAATAAATGTTAGTTAAAGAAGCTTATGCGGTGTAAATGCAAACTAATCTATAAATTGTCTTATCCAGGTCAGATAATGTAAATTTTTCTACCTTTAATCTAATACTTCTCTATTTGGTACAAGTCTTAAAAAGAGTTGTTTTGTTATTTATTGAATGTCTCATCGTACAAAAGGTAATCTGGTTTTTTAGTCATAAAGGAATTATTGTTATCTATAAGACATTCAGATTACCTTACACTATAATAAGAAAAAATGTGTCAAAACTGTAAACAATACTTCTCCCTAAAAAAGATCCTGTATTATATACAAATATTTTATAAAGAGACTTAACCATAGTTTCTATTTATAAGTGCTTACCTCCATGTCGGGTATGACCTTCACTTGCTCCTCAAGATCCTTAAGGCGTCTGAGGCTCAAGGCCATCTGTTCGCGAATCTGAAACAGAGCCTGTGCATCTGCCGTGGCCTGACCAGTTTCCGAGATGACGGGTGACTGCAGGGAGCTGCTGCTCATGGAGCCATTCTCCTGCTGCCGATCCTCCTTGGAAGTGGGCGTACCAGTGGGCGTAGTGGCCAACAAGTGGTGGCGCCTTGGCGGCGGCGGTGGAGCAAGTCCTGGCGAGGACTTCCGGGACTCCAGCTGCTCCACTGGCGACTTGGCATTGGCCGCCACCGTGGCCTGGACATAGCTTTCATACTGGACCTCCGCCGGACTGGGACGTTGTTGCAATGGCAGAGTATTGGATCGCAGAAAGGGGCGTGGCGTGCCAGTGGGCGATCGATTGCCCCCAATGCAGGAATCTAAAAATAATAATTGTACATAGTAATTAACTTAAAATTTTAAGTAGTATTATTACAGATTACTTGGTCTGCCGCTGGTCCTTCTCAGTACAATCTTAATTTGCAAACCTGCCATGAGCTCTTGCCGCTGGCGACTGGATATAAAAATGCGATAAAAATATTGCAAAAAGCTCCTAAGCAAAATGATAAATGCGGCTGCTACTAAAATCTAATTTTAATAATTGTGCCAAAGTTCGCATAATGCGCAAAAAAAAACAAATGTTTATGGGTTTATTTACCTATACAAAAACTACATTAAATGCAGACAAAAAATAAAAGGCAAAAGTCACTCGATCCACCCATTTTGCGAGTGTGCGTGAGTGAAAAAATGTCCCAAGATAAGAGACTCGGGTTATTATTCAATATTAGTTTTTGTTTATCGCCCTGGCACACATTTATGTGTGTGGTGTTTATATATTACCTTTTATTTACATAAGAGACAAGGTTATTTCACGTATTTTACTTGACACATGCAAAACATGCTGAGTTTTATATGAGAGCGAAAAGAGAAATTTATAACCAGCTGATGGATGAAGCTTCTATTTTGGTCCCCTTGCATTTGTCCAATATCCCGCATACGCACTGTGTACCCAGCCAACAACAATTTGTTACTCATCTCGCGTTGTCAGCCTTGCCAAGTTTTTTCGCTGTTCTCATCTTTTTTCCCGCCCTCTTATTTGCTATTACTTAATGTATCTGTACAACGAACTTTTCGGACAAAAGCCTTTCCGTTTTTAAAGCAGATGCACAGCAAGAAAATGTATCTTTGACAAAATGGTATTTGAATAAATTATATATTATCATATATATTTAAACTCTGGAGTTTAAAAATTACAGAAGAAATATTTAAATCTATATCTACTCTCATTTGATTCCTAATAAACCCCAGTCACTGCCTGCTGATTGCATAACAACACTATTGATTAATGTGACCAACAGCATTAAAAATCAAACTAAAATCAGTGTGGACATGCTACCCGCCAAATAAACGAAACCTTAGTAGTAACTCATTCTCAGTCTGTGAACACAGTTTATCATTTCTTTGTTGCAAACTTTCGAAAAACTTTCCTAGACACCCTTTATATTGTTAATATGTTTTTCTGTGTCTGTTTTTTCCTAGCGGTGCCAAATTGGCTGAGCGTCTTTGGTCAAGGCGAAATGGGGGGCGGTGGTCGAGAGGGGCGGGGCAGCGCGTGACGCGGGGTAGCATTGACCGGGGTATAATTAATCAGTTTTTATGGCCCAACTAATTAGCAAAGAACCAAGTCAAAAACGGTGAAGAGTTCGCCCCAAATGAGCGTCTCCTTAAGCTAATGAACCTACAGTCGCTCCACCAGCTTTTTGTCGAGTTTGGCTGGCTGTCTGGCTTCAATTTGATACTCCTCTTGACCAAACGCTTTCGTCTCTGCGGCAAGGCATCCTCCGATGTCGAAAACATTGTTATTTTCTATTATTGATTTATTCAGTTTAGTTGGTTAGAGAAGCACAGCATTGCACTTGGCGGTTTTTGTGTGCCAAGGCAGCAGACATTGCACTTGGTTTGTCTGGCTATTCGCAAAGCCAAAAGCGTAGCAAAAGTTGGTTAGATTCTTTTATTTAATTGCCTTGTGTTGTTTTCTTTTTCTTATCTTAGCCGGTGCTAATTAAAGCGTTGGGTTATAAACAATATTAAATTATTTGATTTGGCAGATCAAAGCGACAGCTCATCACATGTTATCTGCCTTACAGTGGCGTCTAAACAAACATGCACACATAGTTCACACAACTCACTTCTTAAAAGTTCATATTTAAGTTTTCGTAGAATCATGGGCATTATTAAAAATATATTCGAATTTGTTTTACAATTTATGTGTTTTATTTTTGTGCTGATTTTGTCTTCGCGTTTGTTTATGAGATTTATTAATGTTTATATATTTAGGATTCGAAATTCTTTCGACGATTTATCGCTTTTTGATTATAAATTTATGATTTTAGTTAAGTTCTTTATGGTTAATAAATCAATATAATATATTTTTTTATATAAATTTGAAATTAAATGTTTTTATCGTAGCTTATAACTTTTTAATTATTTGTCGTTGTCGAACCGATTTTATGTTGGCTGCTCTCGAAATTCGTTGTACCACCATTACGCGTCTCGTTTTGATTAGTTGATTTCGTTTAAGGCATTTCGTATAATTATTTTAGGTAATTTATTTCGCAGCTACACAGACGCATTTTTATGCTATTCGTTCGAAAGTCGCCGACAAACTGCTCTCAGATTTTTCGTTCATTCGACCATCATCAACGGCGGCAAAAACAGCGTGAAGAGCGACAAAAAACCATTTAGCAGTAAAGATTTTTGTGTTATTATTTAACACAACTTTGTGCAAAAGGCGAGCGAAAAAAAATAATGTTAGGTCTTTAGTACTAACAACGAAATAAAATAAAAACCAATTTGGTGAGAGCCCAGAGCGAAGCGATAGCGCTCTGCAAATACAAATTAAATAACCAAAATAAGAAAAAAAGCTAGAGAAGTAGGCAACATTTTGCTGTATTTGTGCTGATAAGCTAAATTCACAATTATATTACACAAGCTGATAGTGATAATTTCAGTGACGTGGGCAAAAAGAGAGGATCTGAATAAGAGAGAAAAAACAAATGGGTTTGTTTATATTCAATGGGCCATTTGATAGGCAAATAGTATTGATTTTTGGGTGTCTATTTGCACACCAATTCGCAGTCGGTGTTTGCCTGTGGTTTCTGAGTCAAGGCCAAGAAAATGAAGAGGCTAATTTTGAATAAATCATCATTAAATTTGATTCAAAGTTCGCCCTTTGAAATATCTAACATCTTATCTTTTTGCAATTAATTTAAAAATGAAAAAAAAGTTTGATTGATATTTAAAGTCTTAACAAATTGAAATCTATAAATAACCATCTGATTCTTTGATTTATGGTTTAATATTTGGTGTTTGCTTTGGATGGGTTGGGCCCGCAGATAGTAGTTTTTGGCTAGATACACAGAAAGTCTTATTCAATGATTAAAAAATTCGTACTAAATTAATCTAGTTGAAAAATACAAACAATATGTACCTATAAATACGTAGTTTTACTAGTTAATATCTTTTTAAATATGATATTTTTAGATCAAGGTTCGTGTTTTCTGCTTTTACACGCTTTTTGGCATTCATCTATTGTTAGAAATCTTTTCTGGGCATTACAAGTTCTTTTTGGCAGCCGTTTGTCTTTTGCCCGTGTTCAGTTCAATTTGAAAGCCATTTATTAATGGCCTATACTTTGGCAATTACCAAGGCACTGCAACCATTTTTTACACATTAATCAATGACAACTCTTTGCGCCATGTCCTATGGACAAAAAAAAAAATAGTAACGAAACGCGACAATTTGATTTGTTTATTTGCCTTGATTTTTTTGCACACTTTATGGCAAATTTATGGCATCAACAAATACGAGAAAAACGAGCTGGAGCAAAATTTGCATGCAAATTGAGCGCCAAATGCGCATTTCAAATTGATTTGAGATACGAACGCCTCGAAAATTGCCTTGAAGTTGCCCCATGCCGCACGTTGCAAGCACCCAATTGAGTTTCAAATGCCAAAGATCCAAAGCAACCGTATCTGTATCTGAATTTGCATTTGCATGCGACTTCGTATCTCTGTTCTGTATCTGTATATTTGGAGTTGCCAGCAGTGAACTATAATTTGATTTGTTTGCTTTTCTATTTAGTTTAAAACTTTATAGATGTTGCAATATCCTTTGATCTAAGACCACAGCTGCAGAGATGACAACTTCATGAGAACTATGGGATTGTGTAGTCAAAAAAGTGCACAAAAATTGTTAACAAAAATTGGGTTAATATGCAACTTGATATGTTTTGAAGGTACTTTCATTTTGAACTTGAACTTTACACATATGTTAGTCTCTAAAAATGGCTTCTGTTGCCGCTTTTTTGAGTTTATTACTTTTACTTTCAATTTTTGTTCCACTGTTTTGTTTTTATATTCCCTTCTAAGAGTCTAACAAAATTTTTCACACTTTCGTGCGTAAAAATCTGACATGTGCCGCAGCATCGCTAATTGCTAAGAAAAGAAAGCAAAAGTATCTGCCAAAGGCGTGTCTCACTTGGCTCTATGAATCATCTTCGTCACACAGAACCAAAAATATATAATATGTTGGTCTTGGTTTTTATCTAAAATCACGCGTCATTTAAAAACTATAGCTCTAGAATACAAATAAATTCAAATACACAAGATATTTTATTTGTAAATATACTGTCATTATTTGTATCTAGGTTTTAACGATATCAACAACAATATCCAAAACTTTCAGGATACTCCTCAAACGTTCAAGAGGAAGTGTGAATTTTTATAATATTTTCTTTTTCTTTAAAATAGAGTAACTCATACAACTAATTAAATGTTTTAAACTAATTCTGGATTTTTTGTTTTTTTCAAAACTATTTTATCACGTCATAATTCCTCGAATATACTATATATTTTCTTTCAGTGGAGACCAAGAAACTTATAAATTGAGTTCTATTTGGCATGCTATTTCTGGAGATCGTTCCGCCGCCCACTCACCTGCCACATCAAAGTACCGGTCCCACGTGCTGTTGCCCAGCCGATGACTCTGCTGCTCCTTTGATGGCCCGTGACCATTGGTGAGGCTCAGGCTGAGTTTGTTGTTGTTCCGATCCATGGACAGGGATCCTCCGTATGGCGTCTTGCGCCTCTTCACCGAGGTCCGCTCCAGAGTCCGCTCGAAATCGCTGCACACCTCGTCGAGCGCCTCGTGGAGGAAGGCTCGCGTCTCCGGCGGACTGATCGCCGGACGATGGTGGTGCTGCTGGTGGTGGTAGATCCCCCCTCCCGCACCCACGTCACTTTCCACGCCCCCGCGGAGGGAGGAGCAGGTGGAGGAGGCGGTGCCGAAGGGAGACTCCGATCGCGGCGGTATGCTGCCGTAGGTGAATCGCGGCACGGACGACGAACGCGGTCGGTAGCAGGGGGTGGTGCTGTACGACTGCGACATACCCACACCGCCCACCGCCCCTCCAATGGGGCGTGGCGAATCCGGTTCGCTTTCATGTGAGGCCTGCATGGAAAATTGAAAAGGTGACAAGTTAATTGCACGTGCAGTTTCGCGAGTTTGGAGATCAAAGGAAAAGACCACACAGACGTGACTCTACATTGAAAATTTTGTGTTTGCTGCAAGTTTGTATTTTGAATCTCTGAATACTAAATTTGCAAATTTGTATACTCAAATTTTGGATTGCTTTTTGATCAACAGAAAAATGAATGAATGATTTAAAATGGTGGAAAAGTAGACTTGCAAATAGGACACCATAACCTGCATTGCTTTAACTATAATTGGAAATAATCAAAATCGATTTAAAATACTTGCTAATGTTTTCTGATGATGATTGTCTTCAGGAAGATAACAAACTATGAAATTCTTTTAGAGAATGCTCATTAGTACTTAACCTACCTCGCTTAGCTTTCCCTGCACCCGTGACTCCGCCTGCCAATCGCCGCCGAAGAGGCTCTCGAATCCCAGCATGAACTCCATGGACTTTCGGGACCTTCGGCGATCCCGGCGCCGCTGCTCCTCCTCGCTGGGCTTCTCGTGGGCCAGGGCCTCACAGTAGCGCACAAAGTCCAGGTCGATGTGGTAGCCATAAGGACAGCAGTTGCAACTCCGCACCGAGCGACTCATGCCCGAAGGAGCGGGATTCGCGGGGGAAGAGCCAGGATGAGCTGCAAGAGAAGTCAAACGAAATGGAATAAGTATCTCGGGGATATATGTATATAAAAGCCAGACACGGTATATCTTAATGTCACTGCCAAGGTCACGTCAACAGTCGATTCTTGGTATTTGGCCACAGTCAAACCACAAAAAAGGTATCTTTTTTTGTGCGTCTGTGCAACGCAGACGGAGGGAGCCACACCTGCCCTCCATCAAACACGTTTCGGATCGGATTTGGTAATCTGAGCAGCAGGTACAAAGGCGCAGTTCTCGGAATGCCCCCTTGTGTATCCGCAAGATACATTCGTGCCTTATTTGTTCTTAATTGCGCCTTATAATAACTAATTTTGGCTAATTTAGATAAACCACTTTTGGCCAGCTGAATCACTTTTAACGAAGCAATTTAAGTTATTTACGTTGGCATTGGTGTAAACGATTTTGTAATCAAGGCAAATAATAATTAAATAATGATTCAAGTAATGGGGCTTAATAGTCAGCTCAGAGATTTTAACGTTAAAAGCCAGCACAAACAAAGTATGTTTGATCAATTTATGTTATGTATTTATCAGATAGCTCTTTTTCCTGCCTTTCACTCACTTTCTTGCGGAATTTTTGCCTCATGCCAGAGCCACAAAACTCCTATCCAAAATAGATTCCACAGCATTTTGTTGTTACTCGAATTTGCACTCAAAACATTTGGAATTCCTGCAGCGCGTCGGCTGACCTCCAAATTTTTTCGATAGTATGATTTTAAAAACCACAGAAAAACCAAACGTTCTACTCTTCGGGAAAGCCTTCAACAAACTGACCGGCAAACTTATCAAATACCAACTTTTTTCATCATTTGGTTAATTAAACCCGATAAGATATGGGAGCATTTAGCCACGCTTATCAAGTTATCAAGTTGCCAAGTATAAAGCTCTTTGCCGTCGCCATCTGTTGGCGAACTGCAATCGGTTCGGATTGAAAAGTGCAGAAGATACATTTCACTTTTCATTCATGAAAATAAACAAACGAGCGTGTGGGTTGAAAAACGCTTCGCTTAAAATCGTGGGCGTGTCTAGATTGTGAAAGTGTTCAACGCGGCGTATACGTGTTGGACCGACTTAAGAGGTCGCATATTGATGAGCTCGAGTGGCCGTAATTAGCAGGCGGCTCCATGGCCACGGCCAAATCTGTTCACCGGCTTAATTATCATCGATCGCAACGAACACCCACCCGCAATCAAACACTCTTAATCGTATAATCACACAGACTATTCAAATTTGGCGTGGCTTCTACAGTTTTTTTTTGTTTTTTTTGGATTCAGTGGGCGGACAAGGAATGTGGCTCCATAAATGTCCACTAATTGCAGGGTGTTTAATACTGTCTGAGTATCTTAAAAGGCAAAACATTTTGTTTTTAACTATGTACTAGCATGTAAATGCAGAAAAAAAATTATGAATATCTTGATAATTGACTGGAATCTTAATAAAAACCCAGTAGAATCCGTATAACTTTCCCATGTAATTGCTTAATTGTCATTTTGCGAATACAATCAGTATGGCGGCGAGTTTACAACTTCATTTGGCCGACAATCTGCCAACCATATAAGGGCGCCTACATACAGTCACATAAATCGTATTGTCGCACCCGACACACATAAAAATTAAGAAATTAACCCAGCTCGATCACAACAGTTGAATTACGATCATACTCTGCAGGCCCATGTCCCATGTCCCAATCATCATTATCGTGATCGCTTCGATGTTGATCAGACCTCTTGTAATGACTACATTTTTGGCGTAGGCGTATTGGTGAATGATGCAGATGCTGTCCAGCATACAAAATGAACTCATCTTGTGAATGATATGGGAAAGAAATGAATGTGTTTGTGGGAATATCGAAGTTTGTATACGCTTTATTCCACCTTATAAATAAATATTTTATAATATTTAAGATCAAGTTGATATAGCCTTTAGCTAAGCGTATTGGAACACCAAATTCAAACTGGTTGGCCAACCGACATGTGCACAATTTGCTCATATGGGGGCTATTTCTGAGGTAGGCGGCATTCGCAGTTGCAGCTGCTGCAGCTAATGAAGCTAACGGTGCAACAGCCACAAATTACCGTAAAGTGCAAAAATTTAATTATGCAAAACACGTGCAATGCTGTTCGATCTAATTGCATGCCCCAACTCACTTGACAGGCAACCGAAAAAAAATGCGACAGCCGAATATAAAATAAGTGAATAATGGGTATGTTAGCCATAATCAAGAGATTTTACTTTGGTAGAAATAACTATAATTTTAAATTAGCAAAATACATTTGGTTTAATAAATACACCCTCAATAAGAGATGCTCTTTATATAATATTTAATGAAAAAAATAGTTTTTTATATTTGAAGAAAGGCTATAAACTTTTGAGATTTTTAATTGCTCCAACGATGGGATGGCAAAATTGAGATTAAGACAGTCAAAACTCTAGGTATAGCTACTTTTTAAAAAGACTTAAATATTTAAATACGTTGAACTAATAACAGTATTTTGTAAAAATATATGGCCGACTAAAAAGTTAAATTTTTATATTTTTAAAGAGAAAGAAAACAATTCTAACATCCCTGTTCCTTCTTAATGGATTTCCGTTTTTCCATCACGCCTCACAATTTTCTTTTCTTTTTTTAAGTGCTCCCCAGGCGAGATTCGCTCTCTTTTTATGGCTGCATTTTAATTACCCAATTAAAGTTGTCCCTTTCAGTCGACTACTTGTGGTTGCTGCAGTGGTTTATGGCCTTTAGTTTTTAATGATTTTTCAACGTGTCATAAACTTTTGTCGTTTTTAGTTTTCTTTCAAAATTATGGTGAACACTTCGTGTGTGGCTAATGAGTTGAAATCGCGGGCCAGCTGACATTTAAGCGCACGTTGCCCATTTTAATTGCTTCAATTAACGCTGAAGTTGAAAATCAAAACCTGCCACGCCCACTGCCCACTGCCAACTAAACTGTCAACTCACATCCGCTTGTCATAAATTGGCCGCTGCAAAAAGCCCGAATTATTTGATATCGAGGGAAATATTTGCGTTTAAGCCGCAAACCAGTTTGGTCTCAGTTTGGCTTAATTAAAAGTTGCATTTTTTGGCGGAAGGGGGAGTGTGTGTGGGTCTTGCCAAAATTGATTTCCATAAAGGAGTTGAGATACGAAAAATATTTCACTGGATTGGAGTAGGCTGAAAAAAGTGCGTTGCGGCGCCGCTGTGACAAATTTGCCTTTTCGGCCAAGTTAAGTGTATTGTTAACACCGCTCAACACAATTGTGGGTGTTGGCCCGACTTTGCGGATTCGTGTGCGGGCGTTAGGTTGACCCACATCCGATCTTGTGGCCAAAAGCTGCTGTAGAATGTCAGCCATGTGGGCCTGAGACACGTTTTTAGTATTATTTTTATGGCCCAGACCCACGCGCTGGGTTTCTTCAACTTACCATTTTCCTCAATGAAGGCGCGTTGACTTCGCAAAACCAGCGACCTGGAAACGAATCGGACCAAAGAAATTCTTGTTAGTGGAAATTGGCAAATAACGTAAACCATATAATGAAAGATTACAGGGCCTGCACAAACAATAACAAGGAAAGTCTCTTGCGAAAGGCTAGAAAAGCGCCAACGCTATTTGTCTTTGCAATCAGATTTAAAAATAAATCAATGCAACCAGCACGCTGAGAAAAATACATAGATTATGTTTATAAATAAATGATTTTTACTTTTTAACTTTGAGCTGATATCTTTAATGGATATCAAAATATAAAATATTTTGCTATGTGACTTAATAAATAAAGCTATAAATAAAGTTATCATAAAATAAGCAATTTAAATTGATTATTTTATTTTTTAACTGATCTTGGATAAATTCCGTCGTTCAATTTATTTATTTACGAATATAACACGAAGTTAGATTGTATAATAATAATATAGATCTTTTTTTTAATTATCAATCTATTATGGCTTTTATTTAATTATTACTTATTTATTTAAAATTGTTTCAGTGCTGTGATTTTTCCTGTGCACTCGACACGGAATGCGACAAATGCGTAGATACCAAAGAAACACAAACAGTGCGACAGATATAGATAGAAATCACACTTGCCGTAGGGAAGAAATTATAATAAAATATATCAAGCTGTCAGCGTTTTGAGTTCTTGTTGTCGCCCCCTTTGTTCGGTATTTGGAAACATCTTTGGAAATATATTTGAGAGCGCGCGCCACAAAATCCAGTATAAACTGTTTGCCCCACCATTCCGAGGAATGGTTCTCATCCAGACCCGTCCTCATCCACATTCCCATCCCCATCCGCATCCCCATCCCCATCCCCATCCCCATCCTCATCCCCAATCCACAATCCCACCAGAACTCATTAGTGAACTTTGCCGCCCTGATCCCTACTCCAATTTTCCTTGGGTTTCCTGGAAAACGTAACATGCGTGCCGCATTTTTCATTTTTCCACTTTGCTGGAAACGGAAACTGCAATTATTTATAATTTGTTTTGGGTCCTCAAGGGGATACCAAATTATCCAAATGCAATTAGCCAAATAAGCCAGCGTTACCTTGGCTCTTCATGCATTATCAATTAATTGCCTGTCATGTTTTTGACCAAACAACAGTGTTGCTGATTTAATGATATTATAAATAAATTATATATATTATATGTATGTATATATATCTTTCAAGGAGTCAAATTGAAAGCCGTCTGGCAATTTGCTGCCATATTTCTCGAGTCATTTTTCACGTTTCCATCTTTTGCCCGATTTGAAAATGTATGTAAAATGAAAATTTATGCGTCAACTGATTTATGCGGTTTCGCTATATGCATGTTACATGAATGGAAAAGGCCTGACATGGATGGACCCACTACTCCCCCTCCAAAGAAACCTGCATTCATGTGGAACGGTTGCGGCATCGCGTATTTTTGGATTGCCGACCAAATTAATATGCGTGTTTATGATTATGATACACGAAACTCGTTGTTTTTATGTTCTGCCTTCTAGCTTTGTCTAGCCACAATTTGTTGCGGCTTTTCCTTGTTTACGCGGACCGTTCTCATAATTAGAAATTATTATAATTGGATTCGGTTTGGCCGAAGACAAAGATTCATGGGTTTTTTGGAAATACATTTAAGTTGTGACACTTTAGGCAGATCATTTTAAAGTTCCTTTAAAGGGCTGTCAGCTTAATAAATTGCAATTTATCTAAATACAAAATTTGAAAGTTACACATTGGCTAAAATGTTGTATTAAGCTAATCAAGGAAAGCTCTATTTAAATATTTAATGTATTTAAATCCCTATAATATATTACTAAAACACAGATTGTAAAAGTATTTATATTTTTATCAAAACCTAAAACATTTAATATTTACAAAAAAAACGAAAAAGGTTTATAAGACACCAAAACTTGTTTTGGAAACACCTTCATCTATTGACATTAGCTCATGGCCACACAAAACTCGCACTTAAGTTCACACCTTTAACACCTCCATAATAGATATAAAACAACATCCGATAAACGCTTTCAGTTTTTGCCACTTTATTAGACACCCGCACATTTGGTGCGACTTCCTTCAACTTTGGATTGCAGTGATATAGATCGCAGATCCATCACCATTATCTTTACCTCCAGAAACGCCTTACTGCTTCCTGTTCCGTGGGCGTCAGGTGGGTTATCTTTTCGGCAAACTTTGACTCATCGTAGCCCCCGATTACGGAATTGTGGAGAATCATTTCGCCGGCGTTATTGGGTCGACTACTCATGAGCAGGGCATACGTGATTTCTTAATGGCCTTTAGTCGATGGCTTTCTGCGATGGCATTTAATTAGCATTTGGCTTTTTTGGCTTTGTCTACACTTATATTTAGCTGGTGGAAATTCTATGCCGAAATTAATTAACTCCGAAGGCGACAGACGAAAACGAAAACGAAAACTTTTGGCCCGGCATTTGGAGAAACACTTTTCATCGCCGCTGCACTTTAGTTGTATGTTTTTTTTTGGCTGACTCAGATAGCTTGTAATTTTTTTTAGTTTTAGTTTCACGTTTTGTGGGGCTTTTGTCGTATCTTTTTGTTATTTTGGTTTTTATTTCTGTGCGAGTTAAACGCTCCGCGCTCGAAAATCGCTCGAATCGAACTGAATGCGCCGGGAGAAAAACTTCACGAGTTCGCCGCCTGAACTTTATGCTCTGTAAATGTGAGTATCTGTGTGTTTGGCCCTCGTGTGCGTATGCGTTTCTGTGTATCTTTTGTGTTTGTTTTGGTTGTCGACTTTGTTTTTGTTTGCCAACGATCGTCAAAGAACTTTGGCTGCCGCCAAACCAATCCGAGAACCACCCAAAAAACCCAAACACAATACCAAATGTACATTTGTTGCTAGACGCTTTTTGCTTTTAGCCCGAAGCTAAGCTCAAACGAGAGAGCTATCGATACGATAATTAATAAATATAAGTAACTGACTGCTTAGCAGCACGAAAACCAGTTCGTAACGAGTCCGCTCCAACACCCAAACAACCGATGCCGATTCCAAGTCCAATTCCAATTCCCATTCCGAATCTGTGTGGACGCCCGATAAGCAAACTTACACCTGTACTGAGAAAAATGTATGTTATGTCAGCATGGATTTGATAATCTGCCAGTTTAATTTGTCTTCAACATTTAATCATAATTAAAATTGAAACATTTTTAACAATGGATCCTCTTAAGACTATATCACCTTTTTCCATAGAAAATACAAAATACTTAATAATAATAATCGCTTTTCTGCTTAAGTCTTTTAAGTCAATATAAGACATTTACTTTTCTTAGTTTGTTAAATAATATTAAAATATTTATATGATCTCAATACATTGTTGTTTTAAGCCCTAATCTTTTGTAGATCAAAACATATAAAATTAATAACGAATCACTGAATTTTGTTCCTTGCTCAGTTCTAGTTGAAATACTTATTTAAATCACATCGACGCAATGTTCTAACTTTTTTCTAAGATTTTCATTAAAGCTACAAATTTATTTTTTGTGTAATTTTTGTAAATGTATATATTCATATTATTGTAGTGCTGTGTGTAAAATTCTGGTAGCGGAAGCGTTTTCCATGATTGATGAAGTTGGAAAGGTGTCGCCCTATCCTGGCTGTTTGATCTTTCACCGAAGGCATCATTAATCCCACAGAAGCTGAGTTGGAAAATATAGTTGCTAAACCCGAAAGTGAGATATCTTGGAGACAAGACAGGTCATTAAGCAGGAAGATATTCCGGCTAACTAATTTAAGTTGACAACGGCATGGGCTAACTTTAATGAATGTAACAAGGGTTTTACGTTACCATGTAATCCATAAAATTCTGTCACTTTTCATACCTCCTAGGCCTATCTCATTATTCATAAAATCTGGCTGAGAATGGCCTGCCAAATAAAAAAAACCCAGTAGTTGTAAACTCAGCGGGTTACAAAAGCCTGAGAATAATGAAAAAATGTTTTATTGTTTATGTAGATAAATTCTTTTGTGAGAAGAGTGGGCAAATTGAAGACCCTCCGGCAAGTAGAAATCGATTGGGTGTGACGCATAAATAATTGCAGCAATTTATTACCCCATTAAAGCAATGAGAGAATCCACTAACGCATAATTAAATGCCGTGAAATCCACTGGCCAAAGCACTAAACTTGTTTATGAATAGCAAAAAAAATAACAGTTCGACAGAAACGGAAACCGGCTCACTTAACGTTTAGCGCTGAAAAACACACGAAATCGTAGACGCCGTGACACTTTTGTAGAAATTCTCGGCCAGCTCATAGGGCATGAAAAAAAAGCTTATACAATATTCATATTTCCGTAGAAAAAAAGCCAGGCTCATTAGCATAAATTACAAAATCAATGCTCGCGGGAAATACTAATTATGAAATAAAACGATCATTTCATGGACTCGCACTGCGTCGGCTACTTGGAGTTCAATAGACGATCTCCGCTGATAGGCGGCTTTGACATCGTCGTCTTACTTTATAAGGCGGCAATTGTGTAAATAATCAACAATTGATAGTTGTTGTCCGCAGAGCAAACATTTAATTAAGCTTATAAACATTTTGATTAAAGAATGAGAAGCGCATTTGTGATCATCAGCGTTTGCTAAATGCATCATCATCAAGAGATCACGTTGATTACAATGGATAAAGAATACAATACAATATGGTAGATTAACATAACTATTTGTCATCCAAAGTTCTAATGAGTCTTTCAGTCATTAAATGCAAAAACAAGTTTGATTTCAATTTAGGTAATTAAACTTCAAATTAATTCGGCTAAATAGTTTCAGGTTTTAATCGAATTCAAATATAATGCAAATCTAATTCAATACAAATTTAAAGCAAGTTTCAATTGATTTAAATTATATTTAATGGTGTATATCATTGATGTGCATTTGCTGTGCAATAAAGTTTATTTATTTATTTGTTTTTTTGTTCATAATTTAATTAGTTTGGTTTTGTGAAGATATTGC